TCTTCACAAATGTTCATACTTTGAAAATGCAATGATGTGATTAAACAGTGATGGAGAATGGAGAGATATTTCTGTGTGGTGAGCTGGGGATTGTGAAAGTCTTCCCCAGGCAGGGCTCCAGCTGCACGGCCCAAGCTGCAGAAAGCAAAGGTAAGAACTGGGAGAAGGAAGATGTGCCTGCTGTCAGTGAAGACCGGGTTGGTGATCATCTAAAGAAGCTGCAGGAGCAGAAGTTCATGGGACACTATGAGATCCATCCATGGGTTCTGATGCAGACCATGTTGCCAAGGCTCTATCCATCATATTTGAAAGGTCATGGCAGTCTGGCAAAGTTTTCACTGATTGGAAAATTGGAAATATAATCCCCCTTTTGAAGAAGGAAAAAAAAGAAGATGCAGTGATCTGAAGTCCACTGAGTCTCATCTCTGTGCCTTTCAAGATCATGAAGCAGATCATCCTGAAGGCCCTTCTGAGGCACGTGGAAAACAGAGTAGGGGATTGGTGGTAACTGACATGGCTTCACCAAGGGCAAGTCATGTATGGCAAACCTGGTGACCTTTTATGATGAAATTACTGCATCAGTGGATGAATGAAGAGCAGCTGATGTCATCCAGGTGGACTTGTGAAAGGTTTGATAAGGTTGTGTATGACATCTGGTCACCAAATTGAAGAGACATGGATTTGATGGATGGGTTTTGATTGCTGGATAGAGAATTGTCTGTGTGATTGCACTCTGAGTGTTGCAGTCATTCTCACAATGTCCATGTAGAGACTGTTGATGTGCATCGGCCCTCAAGGGTCAGTGCTGGGACTGTTTCTATTTCACATCTTTGGAGGTGACCTGGACAAGGAAATTGAGTGCAGCCCTCAGCAAGTTTGCAAATGACACCAAGCTGAGTTTGCAGGTGACCTGCTAGAGGGAAGGGCTGCCATCCAGAGGGACTGATCAGGCTGAAGAGGTGGGCCCAGGGCAACCTCATGAAGTTCACGCAAGGCAAGTGAGAGGTTTGCACCTGGGTCAAGGCAATCCCTAGCTGAAATACAGGCTGTGCAGAGAACGGCTTGAGAGCAGCCCTGAGGAGAAGGATTTGGGGGTGTTGCTTGCTGAGAGGCTGAAGATGGGCGACAATGTGCTCTGCAGCCCAGAAGGCCGAAGCTTTCCTAGGCTGCATCAAGAGAAGCATGGCCAGCATGCTGAGGGTGGTGATTCTGACCTCTACTTGGCTCTCTTTAGACCCTGCTTGGAGTACTGTGTCCAGTTCTGGTGCCTGCTACACAAGAAGGCCATGGAGCTGTTGGAGCAGGTCTGGAGGAGGGCCACGAAGATGATGAGGGGGCTGGAGCAGCTCTGCTATGAGAACTGGCAGAGAGAGCTGGGACTCTTCAGCCTGGTGAAGAAAAATGCTGTGAGGGGATCTTATAACGGCCTTCCAGCACATGAAGGGGCCACAGGAAGGGCGATGTGTTTTCACTGAATGGGGGCCCGCGTGTTGCGCTCATATTAATGTACAACTGACCTTGCCACTGCTGAATTACATCGTGCAACACCTCATGGTGCTGACATCCACAGTTTGGTCTCCATAAACATTCATTAAGCCTTGGTGAATGTCAACAGATATGATTGCTTCTGCATGGAGGAATTCAGTCGTACTTCGTATGCATTTACATGTCTGAAGCAGTTTTGTCAGACTGCCATTGTTCTGCCATCCATCACTTGGCACCAAAATCCACACTGGCATATTGGTGGGACCACTTAGCCTCTGCTGCCATACCACCAGCATCAGCCTTGGAGAAGTTGGTCCAATGCAGTAAATAAGGAGGCATTACTTTCAGAGCTGCCCTGGTAGATTATGCAGAATCGTTGTTATGTAAGAAATAAAACATCAAAATTTTTAGTATTTTTTGTAAAACTTCTGAAAAGGGAGGAGCAAAGACATGAAACCAGTGGGATATTTGATCTTTTCTTGGTGACAGCAATGCATCAGGATGGTTTGGTGGTAGCGGATGCAATTCTTATGGAGGTCTCGATGTCTTCATCAGAAATTTTGGATTAAATGTTTCTTCCTTGAAAACAATAGCTGACAAGTGTACGTACTGCCCATAAGTAATGACATGAGTAAAGGCTGATGGTGAATTGAGAGATATTTCTGTGTGGTGAGCTGGGGATTGTGAAAATCTTCCCCAGGCAGGGCTCCAGCTGCACGGCCCAAGCTGCAGAAAGCAAAGGTAAGAACTGGGAGAAGGAAGATGTGCCTGCTGTCAGTGAAGATCAGGTTGGTGACCTTCCGAAGAAGCTGCAGACGCACAAGGGCATGGGATCCAAGGAGATCCATTCACGGGTTCTGAGGCAGACGAAGTTGCCAAGGCTCTATCCATCATATTTGAAGAGTCATGGCTGTCTGGTTAAGTTCTCACTGATTGGAAAATTGGAAACATAGCCACCTTTTCAAGAAGGAAAAATCAGAAGATGCAGGGATCTGAAGGCCGCTGAGTCTCATCTCTGTGCCTGCTAAGATTGTGGAGCAGATCATCCTGAAGACCCTACTGAGGCACCTGGAAAATAAAGAGGAGGTGATTGGTGGTAACCAACATGGCTTCGCCAAGGACAAGTCATGTATGGCAACCTGGTGACCTTTTATGATGAACTTTCAGCGTCTGTGCATAAATGAAGAGAAACTGATGTCACCTACCTGGACTTATCCAACGGATCCTTGAGATTCCTTCCAAGCAAAGTCATTCTATGATTCTGTGATTGTGTGCACCCTCTGCAAGTTGGCAGATGACTCCGAGCTGAGTGAGGCTGTGGACACGCTGGATGGAAGAGATGCCATCCAGAGGGACTGATCAGGCTTGAGATGCGGGCCCATGGCAACCTCATGAAGTTCAAGCAAGACAAGTGAGAAGTTGTGCACCTGGGTCAAGGCAATCCCTAGCTGAAATACAGGCTGTGCAGGGAACGGCTTGAGAGCAGCCCTGAGGAGAAGGATTTGGGGGTGTTGCTTGCTGAGAAGCTGAAGATGGGCGACAATGTGCTCTGCAGCGCAGAAGGCCGAAGCTTTCCTAGGCTGCATCAAGAGAAGCATGGCCAGCATGCTGAGGGTGGTGATTCTGCCCCTCTACTTGTCTTTCTTTAGACCCCGCTTGGAGTACTGTGTCCAGTTCTGGTGCCTGCTACACAAGAAGGCCATGGAGCTGTTGGAGCAGGTCTGGAGGAGGGCCACGAAGATGATGAGGGGGCTGGAGCAGCTCTGCTATGAGAACTGGCTGAGAGAACTGGGGTTTTTCAGTCTGGAGAAGAAAAACGCTCTGGCAGAACCTTATAACGGCCTTCCAACACTTGAAGAGGCCACAGAAAGCTGGGATGAGAGCTTTATAAGGGCATGTAGTGACAGGATGAGGGGAAGTGGCCTGAAGGTGGAAGAGGGTAGATTGAGACTGAGATTAGGAAGAAATTCTTTCCTGTGAGGGTGGTGAGACACTGGAAGGAGTTACCAGAGATGCTGTGGATGCCCCACCATGGAAGCATCCAAGGCCAGGCAGGATGGGGCTGTGAGCAACCTGGGCTAGAGGGAGGTGTCCCTGCCTATAGCAGGAAAGTTGGAACTAGAGATCTTTCAGTTCCCTTCCAACCCAAACCATTCCAGGATTTATGAAGTCTGGTAAAGACATGTAGTCAGATTTTTGTGCTGAATATCTGGTTGCAACTCCGTCCATTCAAGCTGAGAATTAACTGCTTATACATTTATATGGGCAGGAAATCATATTTTAGATACAAATTCATGATTGTTTTCAAGTCCTGAAACCTGTTTCCAAATTCCTTTTTCATACTTGAAAGCACAGCACTCTTTGCTGTTCAGTGTGCTTTGTTTTGCAGATGCATGAAAGTGCACACAATTACTTCTTCTTTTTTCCATTTTCCTGTTTGCACCGTGTTTTCCTACTGAGATATCTATTCCTTAACGTCTCCTGCCACCCCACAGAGAATAAGGGAATGTTAGAAAGAAGATGCTGTGGCACAAGATATTCAAAATTCACTGGCACTGTGTAATGTTGAACCGTGAAGTGTAATGTTGTGAACGAGGATGGCCTGTGGAAATGTTATGAGAGGGGACTTGGTGCCATGTCAGTAATAAAATGGATGGTGTTGTTCTGAGAAAGTTTGCAGAGGTGGATTATTTTAAGGGGAAAGATCTGCAGAGCAGAAGCAGAGTTTTGGAAACACTTGGGGGTTTTTTGGTGTTGGATGCTTGCAACTGAAGAAGAACTATTTAGGAGACGTTGTCATCCCCCTGTTGTTGCCTCTGTGCTTCCTACAGCGGCTGAGGTTTGAGATCGGGGCTGATTTTAACGGGTGCGGGGATTTGGGTGGGTCGGGCTGGCGGCAGTCGGGGCGGGCGAGGAGGCGGGGAGGTGGCGGGCGCTGCAGCTTCGTTGCGTTGTCCGAGGCGGCGTGCGGGCAGGAGCGCGGGCGCTGGCTGTGGGCGCTGCCCGTGGCGGCGGCGTGTGCGAGCGGGAGGCAGCGGGGGTGCGCGCGTGTGTGCGGGGTGCGTGTGGCGGCGAGAGGGCGCGGGCAGGAGCGCGTCCCGTCCCCGGAGCAGTCCCGGCGCGGGCCGCAGGGTGGTGCTCGTGGCCAAAGGCGGCGCCGAGCGGCTGCGGGCGGGGCGGGGAGAGGGAGAGGCCGAGCCGAGCGCAGCGCAGCACAGCGCATCCGGGAGGAGGCGGCGGAGAGCGGCGGCGGAGAGCGGCGGCGGAGAGCGGCGGCGGAGAGCGGCGGCGGAGAGCGGCGGCGGAGAGCGGCGGCGGAGAGCGGCGGCGGAGAGCGGCGGCGGAGAGCGGCGGCGAGCGGTTGTCCGTGCTGCCGTGAGGTGCGTGTGAATCGCCGCCGCGCTGTGACGATCGCGCTCCGGGCTCCGGGCTCCGGGCTCGGTCGTTACTCGGCGAGAGGCGGCGAGAGAGCCGAGCGGGGAGGGAGGCCCACCGTCCGTCCCGCCGCGCCGCGCCGCGCCGCTGCCGGGCGCCGCTTCCCGCGGAGGAGCGCGCTTCCCGGCCGGCCGGAGGGTGTCCGGCGGCCCGGCATGGCGGCTGCGAGGCAAGTGCTGTGTGTGTGGGCTTTGCTGGGCGTGGCGCGCGTTCGCTGCGAGCCCATCCGCTACTCCGTGGCCGAGGAGGGCGAGAGCGGCTCGCCGGTGGGCGACGTGGCGGAGGACGCGGGGCTGGCCCCGGCGCAGCTCTGGGCTCGCCGGGCGCGCATCGCCTCGCCGGCCGGCCGGCAGCACTTTGGCTTAGAGCGCGGCAGCGGCCGCCTCGTGCTCGCCGAGCGGCTCGATCGGGAGGAGCTGTGCGGACGCTCCCGCACCTGCACGCTCGCCTTCGAGCTGCTGCTCGCCGACCCGCTGCAGTTCTTTCCCATTGAGGTGTCCGTGGAGGACGTCAATGACCACTCGCCGATCTTCCCGGACGAACGGCTGACCTTTAAGATCCCAGAACTGACAGAAGCTGGCTCCCGTTTCCCAGTGGAGGCTGCTCAGGACCTGGACATTGGCAGCAATGACATCCAGGCTTACCACATCGTTCCTGAGAACGAGTTCTTCACTGTCTTCTATCAGAGAAAAAATGAGCATGACATGCAGGTCCAGCTGGTTTTGCAACAGCCTCTGGACAGAGAGGAGCAGCCAGAGATGGATTTCACTCTTGTTGCCACGGATGGGGGCTCTCCACCCCGGACTGGAACCACCCAAATCCACATCAAAGTTCTGGATGTAAACGACAATGCTCCCATTTTCACCCAGGATTTATATACAGGTCACATTGTGGAAAGTGCCCCTGAGGACTCCTTAGTTCTCCGTGTGATGGCCACTGATGCAGATGTGGGAATTAATGGTGACATTTCCTATCAGTTCAGCCAAGTGGTGAGCCAGAGCCAGCCAGCATTTACAATCAACCCCCAAAATGGAGAAATTCGAATAAAACAGCCTCTCGATTTTGAGACGCAACAGAAATATGATCTCAGTGTGCGCGCGACGGATGGTGGAGGTCTGTCAGCACTCTGTAAGGTGTTGGTGGAGGTGGTGGATGTGAACGACAACGCACCAGAGATCGTGGTCAGTTCCTTCAGCAGCCCGATCCCGGAGAATGCAGCACCCGGGACAGTGGTCGCCCTCTTCTCTGTCACCGACAAGGATTCCGGTGTGAATGGGGAGATCAGCTGTGCCCTGGCAGAACAGCTGTCGTTCTCCCTGCGGCCGGCGTTTAAGAACTACTACGAGCTGGTGACCGTGAGCGCGTTGGACCGGGAGCAAACGGCACGTTACACGGTGGTTGTCACGGCCGCAGATGCAGGGTCTCCTCGTCTGAGCGGCAGCCACACGTTCACCGTGGACGTCTCGGACGTGAATGACAACGCGCCCGTGTTCAACCAGACGTCGTACACCATGTACGTGCACGAGAACAACGTCCCCGCGCTGCTGGTCGGGGCCGTGCAGGCAAGGGACGCGGACGCGGGAGCCAACGGCAAGGTGAGCTATTCGCTGGTGGCGGCCGATCCGCCCGAGCGAGAGCCGTGCTCGTGCGTGTCCGTGAACTCCGAGAGCGGAGCCGTGTTCGTGCTGCGGCCGCTGGACTACGAGCAGCTGAGGCAGCTGGAGGTGGTGGTGAGCGCTGCGGACGCGGGGTCCCCTCCCCTGAGCAGCAGCGTCGGCGTCCGCCTGCTGGTGGTGGACGAGAACGACAACGCGCCGCTGGTGCTGCACCCCAGCGCGCAGGACGGCGGCCCTGCTTGGAGCGAGCCGGTGCCCGCGTGGGCCGAAGCGGGGGACCTGGTGAGCAAAGTGGTGGCCGTGGACGCCGACTCGGGGCAGAACTCGTGGCTTTCGTACCGGCTGCTGAGGGCCACGGAGCCGGGGCTGTTTGCCGTGGGCGCCCAAAGCGGGGAGGTGCGGCTGAGGAGGCCGCCGACGGAGAGGGACGCGGCGAAGCAGAAGCTGGTCGTGCTGGTGCGGGACAACGGGCGGCCGCCGCTGTCGGCCACGGCGGCGCTCAGCGTGCTCCTCCTGCACGGCTCCCGGGACGCTGAGCTGCCGCAGCAGAGCCCCGCCGCGCACGACGACGACGGCTCCCTCACCGCCTCCTTGATCGTCGCCTTGGTCTTGGTCTCGCTCCTGTTCCTGGTGTCGGCGGCGGCCTTTGCGGCGTGCAAGGCGTGCAAGAGCAAGGAGCCGAGTAGCGGGCACGTGCTGTACGGCCCCAGCGGCGTGCCGAGCTGCGTGGCTGACGGGGCCGCTGCCGGCACCCTGCCCCACGCCTATTGCTACGAGCTCAGCCTCACCACGGGCTCGGGCAGCAGCGAGTTCCAGTTCCTCAAGCCCGTGCTGCCCAGCCTGCCGGCGCAGCGCTGCAGCACGGGGGTGGCCGGCGACGATGCCGAGCATTTCCCTGCTGTCCCTGTCCCCGTGGGGGATGCTGATGTCGAGAGCCCCGGGATGCAGGCTGTGGGACAGTTTCACGGCTTGTAATTAGCACTGCGTCTGTGCTTCAGGCAGCATCAAGGCTTGTTTAGTGAGGCTTCTGTGCTTTGATAGTTATCTCCATGTCTGCTTGTTTAGATCTGCATTTGTAGTTTTCCTCCCATTCCACAAGAACATAAGTGTAATTGGAAGCTGTGGATATTAACAGGAAAGTGAGTGTGTGCTTTCTGAGTCTCCCCTGGATTTCAGTCCCTCAGCCTTCTAGCTCTGGCCACAACAGAAATTCCCTGTGTTTCAAGAGGTCCCCAGAAATGTGTGTTTCTGCTGACAGCCCATCTGCCAGCTGGATGAGGACAGAGCGTGCAGGATGTGAGGGCTGGATTTGGTGCCACCTGTGAAGCGAGCAGAGTTCATCAGTTGCAATGGTTGGCTTCCTGTGGCTGATGAGGGCTTGCATGCAAGCATTTCCAGGCACGCCACTGAGTGAGGAGAGCGGGACCTGCCAATGCTCCAGCCTGGAAATACATTTGTCCTGCTCTATTGAATCTTCCAGCCACGTTCACTGGACGCACAGGGAGTTGCAGCTTTGCTTTGTGCACATGGGCTGCATTCTCTGACGTTAACGGAAATCATGAAGAGGGTAAGAAGGTTTCTGTTATAATTCCCCATTATGCAACTTCCCTGTGTGACTTGTTTTGGTTTGTGTTGAATGCCACTGGTGTGCAGTGCTGTCTGTTGCAGTGAAAGGTTCCTTTTGGGAGAAGCATTGTATAAATGCTTCAGTAATTGTAACTTGAGATGGAGCAAGAGCAGATAGAGCTGGGGCAGAGCTGGCATGGCTGACGATCCCCTGGAAGTGTAGTGGGCAGCATCTGAGTGTGTGAGAGAGCTTCTGAGGGCTTGGTTGTTTGTATTTGTCTAGAATGCCTCGTGTTCCCTCTACACCTTTAAGCTGCAGCAACAACACGGTGCCTGTTTTATACGTGCCATGTAAAGACAGGATTCTGATGTGTTCTGTGTGTTTCGGGATTGCCTCTGTAGTGGGGTTCTTTGCCCGGTGCCCAGCTCCTTTCTTGTCCCATGTGCTGGGTGATCATTTGGGCCATGCTTATCCGTGTGGGGATGCAGAAGTGCAGAGGTGCGGGGCTCAGTGTGTGGGGCAGTTTTCTGGGGTTCCCTTCATTAGCAGTGAGTCTGCCCAGCCGGTGTCTTAGTGGGTGGAGAAAGGAAGGGCTGTGTGCAATGGCATGGAGCTGCAGAGGGAAGCTGCGTTTGCAGTTGGCATCACACATTCCCAGACCGCTGAGTGAGAAGGAAGGTTTCCCTGCATGTTCTCTGAAGGAAGGTGATGAACAGAAACGTGCAGCAGGTTCTGAGAGTGCTGCTCTGCAGTCCTGTGTGTGAAGCCCTGTGTTGCAAGAGGTGCAGGCACTGCCTTCTTGCTTTGCAGCGTTGTGCTTCTCCCCGTGTGTGCTGTGTGTTTTGCCTCCTGGTCATGATGTCTCTCCATCCAGCTGTGCTCTTTTCCAGCCACTCTGATGCATTCTCCTGCAGCTCAGCTGTTCAACGGGGTCATTGCTGAGTGCAGCAGCCAGCAATACAGCTGCACTCGTGGTGTTGGGACACAGCGCAACACGTGGGTGTGCAGCGTTGTGGCTTGCCTGGGCTGCACTGAGTAAATAGGAAAGGTGCAGGCTGCATAGAGAGACATTGCTCTGAAAGTACTGCCTCCTATTTATTTCCATGGTAATATCCAGTGACAAAAGAGACACTGTCACACTGTTGGATGGTGCAGATTCACAGCTGGAAGTTGCTATTTTTATCAGAGTCACTGTCACATCTGTGCATATTGAACGGTGGTGTACCTGAGCCTGCATGTTGTGCTCATAATAATCTGCAGCAGTGGAGGTGACCCTGTGTTGCTGACATTTAAACGCATCACCCACCACCTCATGGTGCTCAGCTCCGCTGTCTGCTCTCCATAAACCTTCAGCAGGCGTTGGTGAATCTCAGTGGGTGCAATTGTTTCTGCATGGCATAAGTCAGTGATGCCTGGTTGCCACATACGCACTTCCATGTCAGATGTCAGTTTATCAGACTGCCCTCTGCATCCATCTGTCACGTGGTTCCCAAAGAGAATGGGATGTTGGTGGGAAGGTTCAACCTCTGCTGCCAGACCTTCAACATCCGCCTTGGATATCATGGGCCACCACAGTAGAATGGCAGGCATTACTTTCAGAGCATCCCCTAGAATGTACATTATTGTTTTGAGGAAAGGAAGAAAACATTGAAGTTCTTAATATTTTTCTTGTAACTTCAAAAAAATAAAGAGGAACAAAACCATGAATCCAGAGGGATATTTGACCTTTTTTTGGTGACAGCAATGCATCAGACTGGGTTGGTGGAAATGGATGCATTTCTTACTGAGGTCTCAATGTCTTCATTCGAGTTTTTTGATGAAATTTTACTCTTTCAATGCTTTATAATTTAAAACCGTTCTTCACAAATGTTCATACTTTGAAAATGCAATGACCTGATTAAACAGTGATGGAGAATGGAGAGATATTTCTGTGTGGTGAGCTGGGGATTGTGAAAGTCTTCCCCAGGCAGGGCTCCAGCTGCACGGCCCAAGCTGCAGAAAGCAAAGGTAAGAACTGGGAGAAGGAAGATGTACCTGCTGTCAGTGAAGACCGGGTTGGTGATCATCTAAAGAAGCTGCAGGAGCAGAAGTGCATGGGACACAATGAGATCCATCCATGTGTTCTGAGGCAGACCAAGTTGCCAAGGCTCTATCCATCATGTTTGAAAGGTCATGGCAGTCTGGTGAAGTTCTCACTGATTGGAAAATTGGAAATATAACCCCTCTTTTGAAGAAGGAAAAAAAAGAAGATGCAGTGATCTAAAGTCCACTGAGTCTCATCTCTGTGCCTGCTAACATTGTGAAGCAGATCATCTTAAAGGTCCTTCTGAGGCACGTGGAAAACAGAGTAGGTGATTGGTGGTAACCGACATGGCTTCACCAAGGACAAGTCATGCATGGCAAACCTGGCAGCCTTTTATGATCAAGTTACAGCATCAGTGGATGAATGAAGAGCAGCTGATGTCATCCAGGTGGACTTGTGAAAGGTTTGATAAGGTTCTGCATGACATCTGGTCACCAAATTGAAGAGACATGGATTTGATGGATGGGTTTTGATTGCTGGATAGAGAATTGTCTGTGTGATTGCACTCAGAGTGTTGCAGTCATTGCCACAATATCCATGTAGAGACTGGTGATGTGCATCAGCCCTCAAGGGTCAGTGCTGGGACCATTTCTATTTCACATCTTTGTAGGTGACCTGGACAAGGAAATTGAGTGCAGCCCTCAGCAAGTTTGCAGATGACACCAAGCTGAGTTTGCAGCTGACATGCTAGAGGGAAGGGCTGCCAACCAGAGGGACTGATCAGGCTGAAGAGGTGGGCCCAGGGCAACCTCATGAAGTTCAAGCAAGGCAAGTGAGAAGTTGTGCACCTGGGTCAAGGCAATCCCTAGCTGAAATACAGGCTGTGCAGGGAACGGCTTGAGAGCAGCCCTGAGGAGAAGGATTTGGGGGTGTTGCTTGCTGAGAGGCTGAAGATGGGCGACAATGTGCTCTGCAGCGCAGAAGGCCGAAGCTTTCCTAGGCTGCATCAAGAGAAGCATGGCCAGCATGCTGAGGGTGGTGATTCTGCCCCTCTACTTGTCTCTCTTTAGACCCCGCTTGGAGGACTGTGTCCAGTTCTGGTGCCTGCTACACAAGAAGGCCATGGAGCTGTTGGAGCAGGTCTGGAGGAGGGCCACGAAGATGATGAGGGGGCTGGAGCAGCTCTGCTATGAGAACTGGCTGAGAGAACTGGGGTTTTTCAGCCTAGAGAAGAAAAATGCTCCAAGAGGACCTGATAATGGCCTTCCAACACTTGAAGGGGCCACAGGAATGGCGATGAGTTTTCACTGAGTGAGAGCCTGCGTGTTGCGCTCATATTAATGTACAACTGACCTTGCCACTGCTGAATTACATCATCCGACACCTCGTGGTGCTCACATCCACAGTTTGGTCTCCATAAACATTCATTAAGTCTTGATGAATATCAGCAGGTGTGATTGCTTCTGCATGGAGGAATTCAGTGATGCATCGATACTTCGTATGCATTTACATGTCTGAAGCAGTTTTAACAGACTGCCACCCTTACTGCCATCCACGTGTACCTACCTGGACTTACCCAAATTATTGGACACGGTCCCACATAACATCCTGATCACCAATTTGGAGACAAGTGCCTTTGATGGATGGATCTCTCACTCTGTAAGGAATTGGCTGCACGTTTGTGCTCAGGGAGCTGTGGTCTGTGGCTCAATGCCTGAGTGCAGTTCTGTGATGAGTGGCGTTTCTCAGGGACCGGTGCTGGCACCAGTGCTATTGGACATCTGTGTGTGTGACATGGACAGGGCCCTGAGTGCAGCAAGGTGGTTGGAAGTGGCTGATCCTTGAGGTTCCTTCCAAGCAAAGCCATTCTATGATTCTGTGATTGTGTGCACCCTCTGCAAGTTGGCAGATGACTCCGAGCTGAGTGGGGCTGTGGACATGCTGGATGGAAAGGATGCCATCCAGAGGGACTGATCAGGCTTGAGATGCGGGCCCATGGCAACCTCATGAAGTTCAAGGAAGACATGTTGTGCACCTGGGTCAAGGCAATCCCTAGCTGAAATACAGGCTGTGCAGGGAACGGCTTGAGAGCAGCCCTGAGGAAAAGGACTTTGAGGTGTTGATTGATGAAAGGCTCTACATGGACAGCAATGTGCTCTTATGGCTGAGAAGTCCAAATTTGTCCTGGGTTGCATCAGGAGAAGCATGACCAGCCAATGGAGAGAAGTGATTCTTCCCCTCAACTCTGACTTTGTGAAACCCCACCTGGAGTCGTGCTGCAAGCTCTGAGGCCACTAACACAAGAAGAACATGGAGATGTTGGAGCAGGTTTGGAGGAGGGCCATGGAGACAGTGAGAAGGCTGGAGCAGCTCCGCTATGAGGACAGGCTGAGAGAGCTGGAGTAGTTCAGCCTGGGGAAGAGAAACGCTCCGGGGGACCTTATTGTGACCTTCCAGTACCTGAAGGTGGCTGACCAGAAATTTGGGGAGAGGTTTTTATAAAGGCAGTGTAGTGACTGGATGAGGGGAAATGGCACTGAAATGGAAGATTGTAGATTTGGACTAGATATCAGGCAGAAATTCCTTGCTGTGATGGTGGTGAGATGCTGCAACGGGTTGCCCAGAGTGGTTGTGGTTGCCCCTTCCCTGGAGTGATTCAAGGTCAGGCTGGATGGGGCTGTGAGCAACCTGGTCTGGTGGGAGGTGTCCCAGCCTATAACAGGAGAGCTGAAACTAGCGAGTCTTAAAGATCCCTCCCTTCCAACCCAAAGCCTTCTAGGATTCCATGAAATCTCGTGAAGACATGTAGTCGGATTTCTGTGTTGAATATCTGGTTGCAACTCTGGACGTTCAGTTGTTTAAATTTGCTGCTGCTATATATATATCGACTGAAAAAGGAGTTGCAGGCATCAATTCATACTCACTCGTATTATTTTATCAAATGTGAAAGAACAGCTGATTATTCTTTGCTATTCAGAGCCCCGTGTTTAGCAAATGCATGGAAGTGTGAGCAGTTCCTTCCTCTATCCATTTTCCTGTTTTGAATACGTGTTCCTATTGACATTTCTGTTCCATAAAGTGTACTGCCAGATCACTGAGAAGGGAATGTTAGAAAGACGATGATTTGGCACAAGAGATTCAAACATTGTGTTATGTTGCTCTTATAAAAGGTACTGTTGTGAACAAGGCTGACACTGTTGAACTGATATAAAAAAAGACTCGGAGAGCCATTCCTGTAATAAAACGGATGGTGTTGTTCTGACAAACTTTGCAGAGATGTATGTTTGTTTCTTTGTTTCTGGGAAAAGCCCGCAAAAGAGCTTTGGAAACATTTGGGGCTTTTATAGTGTTCAACGCTTGCAACAGAAGAAGTATTTACAAGACGTTTTCATCCCCTTCTCGTTGCCCCTGTGCTTCCTACGCTGGCTGTGGTTGAGTTCGGGGCTGATTTTAGCGGGTGCGCGGATTTGGGTGGGTCGGGCTGGCGGCTGTCGGGGCGGGCGAGGAGGCGGGGAGGTGGCGGGCGCTGCAGCTTCGTTGCGTTGTCCGAGGCGGCGTGCGGGCAGGAGCGCGGGCGCTGGCTGTGGGCGCTGCCCGGGGCGGCGGCGTGTGCGAGCGGGAGGCAGCGGGGGTGCGCGCGTGTGTGCGGGGTGCGTGTGGCGGCGAGAGGGCGCGGGCAGGAGCGCGTCCCGTCCCCGGAGCAGTCCCGGCGCGGGCCGCAGGGTGGTGCTCGTGGCCAAGGCGGCGCCGAGCGGCTGCGGGCGGGGCGGGGAGAGGGAGAGGCCGAGCCGAGCGCAGCGCAGCGCAGCGCATCCGGGAGGAGGCGGCGGAGAGCGGCGGCGGAGAGCGGCGGCGGAGAGCGGCGGCGGAGAGCGGCGGCGGAGAGCGGCGGCGGAGAGCGGCGGCGGAGAGCGGCGGCGGAGAGCGGCGGCGGAGAGCGGCGGCGAGCGGTTGTCCGTGCTGCCGTGAGGTGCGTGTGAGCCGCCGCCGCGCTGTGACGATCGCGCTCCGGGCTCCGGGCTCAGTCCGCAGTCGGCGAGAGGCGGCGAGAGAGCCGAGCGGGGAGGGAGGCCCACCGTCCGTCTGTCCGTCCCGCCGCGCCGCGCCGCGCCGCTGCCGGGCGCCGCTTCCCGCGGAGGAGCGCGCTTCCCGGCCGGCCGGAGGGTGTCCGGCGGCCCGGCATGGCGGCTGCGAGGCAAGTGCTGTGTGTGTGGGCTTTGCTGGGCGTGGCGCGCGTTCGCTGCGAGCCCATCCGCTACTCCGTGGCCGAGGAGGGCGAGAGCGGCTCGCCGGTGGGCGACGTGGCGGAGGACGCGGGGCTGGCCCCGGCGCAGCTCTGGGCTCGCCGGGCGCGCATCGCCTCGCCGGCCGGCCGGCAGCACTTTGGCTTAGAGCGCGGCAGCGGCCGCCTCGTGCTCGCCGAGCGGCTCGATCGGGAGGAGCTGTGCGGACGCTCCCGCACCTGCACGCTCGCCTTCGAGCTGCTGCTCGCCGACCCGCTGCAGTTCTTTCCCATTGAGGTATCCGTGGAGGACATCAATGACCACTCGCCGGTCTTCCCGGGCGAACGGCTGACCTTTGAGATCCCTGAATTTACTGAAGCTGGCTCCCGTTTCCCAGTGGAGGCTGCTCAGGACCTGGACATTGGCAGCAATGACATCCAGGCTTACAGCATCGTTCCTGAGAACGAGTTCTTCACTGTCTCCTATCAGACTCACAGTGAGAGCGAGATGCATGTCGACCTTGTTTTGCAAAAACCTCTGGACAGAGAGGAGCAGCCAGAGATGGATTTCACTCTCGTTGCAACGGATGGGGGCTCTCCCTCGAGGAGTGGAACCACCCAAATCCACATCATAGTTCTGGACGTAAATGACAATGCTCCCATCTTCACACAGAAAGTGTTCAGTGGGCATGTTTTGGAAAATGCTCCAAAGGGTTTTGTGGTTCATAGAGTGGTGGCAAATGATGCTGATGATGGAATAAATGGTGACATTACATATCAATTTACACAACCAGGTGGACAAACGAATTCGGATTTTACAGTTGACCCCAGGAGTGGTGAAATTCGAGTCACGAAAAGTCTGGATTTTGAGACTGTGCAGAAATATGAATTCAGTTTGAGGGCCGTGGACGGAGGGGGCCTTTCAGCCATGTGCAATGTGGTAGTGGATGTGATGGATGTGAACGACAACGCACCAGAGATCGTGGTCAGTTCCTTCAGCAGCCCGATCCCTGAGAATGCAGCACCCGGGACAGTGGTCGCCCTCTTCTCTGTCACCGACAAGGATTCCGGTGTGAATGGGGAGATCAGCTGTGCCCTGGCAGAACAGCTGTCGTTCTCCCTGCGGCCGGCGTTTAAGAACTACTACGAGCTGGTGACCGTGAGCGCGTTGGACCGGGAGCAAACGGCACGTTACACGGTGGTTGTCACGGCCGCAGATGCAGGGTCTCCTCGTCTGAGCGGCAGCCACACGTTCACCGTGGACGTCTCGGACGTGAATGACAACGCGCCCGTGTTCAACCAGACGTCGTACACCATGTACGTGCACGAGAACAACGTCCCCGCGCTGCTGGTCGGGGCCGTGCAGGCAAGGGACGCGGACGCGGGAGCCAACGGCAAGGTGAGCTATTCGCTGGTGGCGGCCGATCCGCCCGAGCGAGAGCCGTGCTCGTGCGTGTCCGTGAACTCCGAGAGCGGAGCCGTGTTCGTGCTGCGGCCGCTGGACTACGAGCAGCTGAGGCAGCTGGAGGTGGTGGTGAGCGCTGCGGACGCGGGGTCCCCTCCCCTGAGCAGCAGCGTCGGCGTCCGCCTGCTGGTGGTGGACGAGAACGACAACGCGCCGCTGGTGCTGCACCCCAGCGCGCAGGACGGCGGCCCTGCTTGGAGCGAGCCGGTGCCCGCGTGGGCCGAAGCGGGGGACCTGGTGAGCAAAGTGGTGGCCGTGGACGCCGACTCGGGGCAGAACTCGTGGCTTTCGTACCGGCTGCTGAGGGCCACGGAGCCGGGGCTGTTTGCCGTGGGCGCCCAAAGCGGGGAGGTGCGGCTGAGGAGGCCGCCGACGGAGAGGGACGCGGCGAAGCAGAAGCTGGTCGTGCTGGTGCGGGACAACGGGCGGCCGCCGCTGTCGGCCACGGCGGCGCTCAGCGTGCTCCTCCTGCACGGCTCCCGGGACGCTGAGCTGCCGCAGCAGAGCCCCGCCGCGCACGACGACGACGGCTCCCTCACCGCCTCCTTGATCGTCGCCTTGGTCTTGGTCTCGCTCCTGTTCCTGGTGTCGGCGGCGGCCTTTGCGGCGTGCAAGGCGTGCAAGAGCAAGGAGCCGAGTAGCGGGCACGTGCTGTACGGCCCCAGCGGCGTGCCGAGCTGCGTGGCTGACGGGGCCGCTGCCGGCACCCTGCCCCACGCCTATTGCTACGAGCTCAGCCTCACCACGGGCTCGGGCAGCAGCGAGTTCCAGTTCCTCAAGCCCGTGCTGCCCAGCCTGCCGGCGCAGCGCTGCAGCACGGGGGTGGCCGGCGACGATGCCGAGCATTTCCCTGCTGTCCCTGTCCCCGTGGGGGATGCTGATGTCGAGAGCCCCGGGATGCAGGCTGTGGGACAGTTTCACGGCTTGTAATTAGCACTGCGTCTGCGCTTCAGGCAGCATCAAGGCTTGTTTAGTGTGGCTTCTGTGCTTTGATAGTTATGTCCATGTCTGCTTGTTTAGATCTGCATTTGTAGTTCACCTCCCATTCCACAAGAACATAAGTGTAATTGGAAGCTGTGGATATTAACAGGAAAGTGAGTGTGTGCTTTCTGAGTCTCCCCTAGATTTCAGTCCCTCAGCCTTCTAGCTCTGGCCACAACAGAAATTCCCTGTGTTTCAAGAGGTCCCCAGAAATGTGTGTTTCTGCTGACAGCCCATGTGCCAGCTGGATGAGGACAGAGCGTGCAGGATGTGAGGGCTGGATTTGGTGCCACCTGTGAAGCGAGCAGAGTTCATCAGTTGCAATGGTTGGCTTCCTGTAGCTGATGAGGGCTTGCATGCAAGCGTTTCCAGGCACGCCACTGAGTGAGGAGAGTGGGACCTGCCAATGCTCCAGCCTGGAAATATGTTTGTCCTGCTCTATTTAATCTTCCAGCCACGTTCACTCGATGCACAGGGAGTTGCAGTTTTGCTTTGTGCACATGGGCTGCATTCTCTGACGTTAACGGAAATCATGAAGAGGGTAAGAAGGTTTTTGTTTAATTCCCCATTATGCAACTTCCCTGTGTGACTTGTTTTGGTTTGTGTTGAATGCCATCAGTGTGCAGTGCTGTCTGTTGCAGTGAAAGGTTCCTTTTGTGAGCAGTGCTTTTGTATAAATGCTTCAGTAATTGTAACTTGAGGTGGAGCAAGAGCAGATAGAGCTGGGGCAGAGCTGGCATGGCTGACGATCCCCTGGAAGTGTAGTGGGCAGCATCTGAGTGTGTGAGAGAGCTTCTGAGGGCTTGGTTGTTTGTGTTTGTTTAGAATGCCTTGTGTTCCCTCTACTCCCTTAAGCTGCAACAAGAACACGGTGCCTGTTTTATACGTGCCATGTAAAGACAGGATTCTGATGTGTTCTGTGTGTTTCGGGATTGCCTCTGTAGTGGGGTTATTTGCCCGGTGCCCAGCTCCTTTCTTGTCCCATGTGCTGGGTGATCATTTGGGCCATGCTTATCCGTGTGGGGATGCAGAAGTGCAGAGGTGCGGGGCTCAGTGTGTGGGGCAGTTTTCTGGGGTTCCCTTCATTAGCAGTGAGTCTGCCCAGCCGGTGTCTTAGTGGGTGGAGAAAGGAAGGGCTGTGTGCAATGGCATGGAGCTGCAGAGGGAAGCTGCGTTTGCAGTTGGCATCACACATTCCCAGACCGCTGAGTGAGAAGGAAGGTTTCCCTGCATGTTCTCTGAAGGAAGGTGATGAACAGAAACGTGCAGCAGGTTCTGAGAGTGCTGCTCTGGAGCCCTGTGTTCCAAGAGGTGCAGGCACTGCCTTCTTGCTTTACAGCATTGTGTTTCTCCCCGTGTGTGCTGTGTGTTTTGCCTCCTGGTCATGATGTCTCTCCATCCAGCTGTGCTCTTATCCAGCCACTCTGATGCATTCTCCTGCAGCTCAGCTGTTCAACGGGGTCATTGCTGAGTGCAGCAGCCAGCAATACAGCTGCACTCGTGGTGTTGGGACACAGCGCAACACGTGGGTGTGCAGCGTTGTGGCTTGCCTGGGCTGCACTGAGTAAATAGGAAAGGTGCAGGCTGCATAGAGAGACTTTGCTCTGAAAGAATTGCCTCCTATTTATTTCCATGGTAATATCCAGTGACAAAAGAGACACTGTCACACTGTTGGATGGTGCAGATTCACAGCTGGAAATTGCTATTTTTAATGTAGTCACTGTGACATCTGTGCATATTGAACGGTGGTGTATCTGAGCCTGCATGTTGTGCTCATAATAATCTGCAGCAGTGGAGGTGACCCTGTGTTGCTGACGTTTAAACACATCACCCACCACCTCATGGTGCTCAGCTCCGCTGTCTGCTCTCCATAAACCTTCAGCAGGCGTTGGTGAATCTCAGTGGGTGCAATTGTTTCTGCACGGCATAAGTCAGTGCTGCCTGGTTGCCACATACGCACTTCCATGTCAGATGTCAGTTCATCAGACTGCCCTCTGCATCCATCTGTCACGTGGTTCCCAAAGAGAATGGGATGTTGGTGGGAAGGTTCAACCTCTGCTGCCAGACCTTCAACATCCGCCTTGGATATCATGGGCCACCACAGTAGAATGGCAGGCATTACTTTCAGAGCATCCCCTAGAATGTACATTATTGTTATTATGAAAAGAAACAAACATTGAAGTTCTTATTATTTTTCGTGCAACTTCAAATAAATAAATAAATAAAGTGAAAAAAAAACCATGAAGCCATTCGGACATTTGACTTTTCGTAGCACCAAGGAATCATTCGGGTTTGGTGGGAATGGTTGCATTTCTTCCTGTGTTCTCAATGTCTTCATTCGAGTTTTTTGATGAAATTTTACTCTTTCAATGCTTTATAATTTAAAACCGTTCTTCACAAATGTTCATACTTTGAAAATGCAATGACGTGATTAAGCGTCTGATGGAGAATGGAGAGATATTTTTGTATGGTGAGCTGGGGATTGTGAAAGTCTTCCCCAGGCAGGGCTCCAGCTGCACGGCCGAAGATGCAGAAAGCAAAGGTAAGAACTGGGAGAAGGAAGATGTGCCTGCTGTCAGTGAAGACCGGGTTGGTGATCATCTAAAGAAGCTGCAGGAGCAGAAGTGCATGGGACACAATGAGATCCATCCATGTGTTCTGAGGCAGACCAAGTTGCCAAGGCTCTATCCATCATGTTTGAAAGGTCATGGCAGTCTGGTGAAGTTCTCACTGATTGGAAAATTGAAATATAACTCCTATTTTCACAAATGGAAAAAATGGAGATGCAGGGATCTGAAGGCCACTGAGTCTCATCTCTGTGCCTGACAACATTGTGAAGCAGATCATCTTAAAGGCCCTTCTGAGGCACACGGACAACAGAGGAGGTGATTGGTGGTAACCAACATGGCTTCACCAAGGGCAAGTCATGCATCGCAAACCTGGTAGCCTTTTATGATGAAATTAAAACATCAGTGGATGAATGAAGAGCAGCTGATGTCATCCAGGTGGACTTGTGAAAGGTTTGATAAGGTTGCGCATGACATCTGGTCACCAAATTGAAGAGACATGGATTTGATGGATGGGTTTTGATTGCTGGATAGAGAATTGTCTGTGTGATTGCACTCAGAGTGTTGCAGTCATTGTCACAATGTCCATGTAGAGACTGGTGATGTGCATCGGCCCTCAAGGGTCAGTGCTGGGACCGTTTCTATTTCACATCTTTGGATGTGACCTGGACAAGGAAATTGAGTGCGCCCTCAGCAAGTTTGCAGATGACACCAAGCTGAGTTTGCATCTGACCTGCTGGAGGGAAGGGCTGCCATCCAGAGGGACTGATCAGGCTGAAGAGGTGGGCCCAGGGCAACCTCATGAAGTTCAAGCAAGGCAAGTGAGAGGTTGTGCACCTGGGTCAAGGCAATCCCTAGCTGAAATACAGGCTGTGCAGGGAACGGCTTGAGAGCAGCCCTGAGGAGAAGGATTTGGGGGCGTTGCTTGCTGAGAGGCTGAAGATGGGCGACAATGTGCTCTGCAGCCCAGAAGGCCGAAGCTTTCCTAGGCTGCATCAAGAGAAGCATGGCCAGCATGCTGAGGGTGGTGATTCTGCCCCTCTACTTGTCTCTCTTTAGACCCCGCTTGGAGGACTGTGTCCAGTTCTGGTGCCTGCTACACAAGAAGGCCATGGAGCTGTTGGAGCAGGTCTGGAGGAGGGCCACGAAGATGATGAGGGGGCTGGAGCAGCTCTGCTATGAGAACTGGCAGAGAGAGCTGGGACTCTTCAGCCTGGTGAAGAAAAATGCTGTGAGGGGATCTTATAACGGCCTTCCAGCACATGAAGGGGCCACAGGAAAGGCGATGTGTTTTCACTGAATGGGGGCCCGCATGTTGCGCTCATATTAATGTACAACTGACCTTGCCACTGCTGAATTACTTCATCCAACACCTCGTGGTGCTCACATCCACAGTTTGGTCTCCATAAACATTCACTAAGCCTTGATGAATGTCAGCAGATATGATTGCTTCTGCATGGAGGAATTCAGTCGTACTTCGTATGCATTTACATGTCTGAAGCATTTTAGTCAGACTGCCATTGTTCTGCCATCCATCACTTGGCACCAAAATCCACACTGGCATATTGGTGGGACCACTTAGCTTCTGCTGCCATACCACCAGCATCAGCCTTGGAGAAGTTGGTCCAATGCAGTAAATAAGGAGGCATTACTTTCAGGGCCGCCCTGGTAGATTATGCAGAATCGTTGTTATGTAAGAAATAAAACATCAAAATTTTTAGTATTTTTTGTAAAACTTCTGAAAAGGGAGGAGCAAAGACATGAAACCAGTGGGATATTTGATCTTTTCTTGGTGACAGCAATGCATCAGAATGGTTTGGTGGTAGTGGATGCAATTCTTACGGAGGTCTCGATGTCTTCATCAGAAATTTTGAATTAAATGTTTCTTCCTTGAAAACAATAGCTGACAAGTGTACGTACTGCCCATAAGTAATGACATGAGTAAAGGCTGATGGTGAATTGAGAGATATTTCTGTGTGGTGAGCTGGGGATTGTGAAAGTCTTCCCCAGGCAGGGCTCCAGCTGCATGGCCCAAGCTGCAGAAAGCAAAGGTAAGAACTGGGAGAAGGAAGATGTGCCTGCTGTCAGTGAAGATCAGGTTGGTGACCTTCCGAAGAAGCTGCAGACGCACAAGGGCATGGGATCCAAGGAGATCCATTCATGGGTTCTGAGGCAGACGAAGTTGCCAAGGCTCTATCCATCATATTTGAAGAGTCATGGCTGTCTGGTTATGTTCTCACTGATTGGAAAATTGGAAACATAGCCACCTTTTCAAGAAGGAAAAATCAGAAGATGCAGGAATCTGAAGGCCACTGAGTGTCATCTCTGTGCCTGCTAAGATTGTGGAGCAGATCATCCTGAAGACCCTACTGAGGCACCTGGAAAATAAAGAGGAGGTGATTGGTGGTAACCAACATGGCTTCGCCAAGGACAAGTCATGCATGGCAACCTGGTGACCTTTTATGATGAACTTTCAGCGTCTGTGCATAAATGAAGAGAAACTGATGTCACCTACCTGGACTTATCCAAAGGATCCTTGAGATTCCTTCCAAGCAAAGCCATTCTATGATTCTGTGATTGTGTGCACCCTCTGCAAGTTGGCAGATGACTCCGAGCTGAGTGGGGCTGTGGACATGCTGGATGGAAGGGCTGCCATCCAGACGGACTGATCAGGCTTGAGATGCGGGCCCATGGCAACCTCATGAAGTTCAAGCAAGACAACTGAGAAGTTGTGCACCTGGGTCAAGGCAATCCCTAGCTGAAATACAGGCTGTGCAGGGAACGTCTTGAGAGCAGCCCTGAGGAGAAGGATTTGGGGGTGTTGCTTGCTGAGAGGCTGAAGATGGGCGACAATGTGCTCTGCAGCCCAGAAGGCCGAAGCTTTCCTAGGCTGCATCAAGAGAAGCATGGCCAGCATGCTGAGGGTGGTGATTCTGCCCCTCTACTTGTCTCTCTTTAGACCCCGCTTGGAGGACTGTGTCCAGTTCTGGTGCCTGCTACACAAGAAGGCCATGGAGCTGTTGGAGCAGGTCTGGAGGAGGGCCACGAAGATGATGAGGGGGCTGGAGCAGCTCTGCTATGAGAACTGGCTGAGAGAACTGGGGTTTTTCAGTCTGGAGAAGAAAAATGCTCCAAGAGGACCTGATAATGGCCTTCTAACACTTGAAGGGGCCACAGATAGCTGGGATGAGAGCTTTATAAGGGCATGTAGTGACAGGATGAGGGGAAGTGGCCTGAAGTGGATGAGAGTAGATTGAGACTGAGATTAGGAAGAAATTCTTTCCTGTGAGGGTGGTGAGACACTGGAAGGAGTTACCAGAGATGCTGTGGATGCCCCACCATGGAAGCATCCAAGGCCAGGCAGGATGGGGCTGTGAGCAACCTGGGCTAGAGGGAGGTGTCCCTGCCTATAGCAGGAGAGTTGGAACTAGAAGATCTTTCAGTTCCCTTCCAACCCAAACCATTCCGGGATTTATGAAGTCTGGTAAAGACACGTAGTCAGATTTTTGTGCTGAATATCTGGTTGCTACTCCCTCCATTCAAGCTGAGAATTAACTGCTTATACATTTATATGGGCAGGAAATCATATTTTAGATACAAATTCATGATTGTTTTCAAGTCCTGAAACCTGTTTCCAAATTCCTTTTTCATACTTGAAAGCACAGCACTCTTTGCTGTTCAGTGTGCTTTGTTTTGCAGATGCATGAAAGTGCACACAATTACTTCTTCTTTTTTCCATTTTCCTGTTTGCACCGTGTTTTCCTACTGAGATATCTATTCCTTAACGTCTCCTGCCACCCCACAGAGAATAAGGGAATGTTAGAAAGAAGATGCTGTGGCACAAGATATTCAAAATTCACTGGCACTGTGTAATGTTGAACCGTGAAGTGTAATGTTGTGAACGAGGATGGCCTGTGGAAATGTTATGAGAGGGGACTTGGTGCCATGTCAGTAATAAAATGGATGGTGTTGTTCTGAGAAAGTTTGCAGAGGTGGATTATTTTAAGGGGAAAGATCTGCAGAGCAGAAGCAGAGTTTTGGAAACACTTGGGGGCTTTTTTGTGTTGGATGCTTGCAACTGAAGAAGTATTTGCAAGACGTTGTCATCCCCCTGTTGTTGCCCCTGTGCTTCCTACAGCGGCTGTGGTTGAGTTCGGGGCTGATTTTAGCGGGTGCGCGGATTTGGGTGGGTCGGGCTGGCGGCTGTCGGGGCGGGCGAGGAGGCGGGGAGGTGGCGGGCGCTGCAGCTTCGTTGCGTTGTCCGAGGCGGCGTGCGGGCAGGAGCGCGGGCGCTGGCTGTGGGCGCTGCCCGTGGCGGCGGCGTGTGCGAGCGGGAGGCAGCGGGGGTGCGCGCGTGTGTGCGGGGTGCGTGTGGCGGCGAGAGGGCGCGGGCAGGAGCGCGTCCCGTCCCCGGAGCAGTCCCGGCGCGGGCCGCAGGGTGGTGCTCGTGGCCAAGGCGGCGCCGAGCGGCTGCGGGCGGGGCGGGGAGAGGGAGAGGCCGAGCCGAGCGCAGCGCAGCACAGCGCATCCGGGAGGAGGCGGCGGAGAGCGGCGGCGGAGAGCGGCGGCGGAGAGCGGCGGCGGAGAGCGGCGGCGGAGAGCGGCGGCGGAGAGCGGCGGCGGAGAGCGGCGGCGGAGAGCGGCGGCGAGCGGTTGTCCGTGCTGCCGTGAGGTGCGTGTGAGCCGCCGCCGCGCTGTGACGATCGCGCTCCGGGCTCCGGGCTCAGTCCGCAGTCGGCGGGAGGCGGCGAGAGAGCCGAGCGGGGAGGGAGGCCCACCGTCCGTCCCGCTGCGCCGCGCCGCTGCCGGGCGCCGCTTCCCGCGGAGGAGCGCGCTTCCCGGCCGGCCGGAGGGTGTCCGGCGGCCCGGCATGGCGGCTGCGAGGCAAGTGCTGTGTGTGTGGGCTTTGCTGGGCGTGGCGCGCGTTCGCTGCGAGCCCATCCGCTACTCCGTGGCCGAGGAGGGCGAGAGCGGCTCGCCGGTGGGCGACGTGGCGGAGGACGCGGGGCTGGCCCCGGCGCAGCTCTGGGCTCGCCGGGCGCGCATCGCCTCGCCGGCCGGCCGGCAGCACTTTGGCTTAGAGCGCGGCAGCGGCCGCCTCGTGCTCGCCGAGCGGCTCGATCGGGAGGAGCTGTGCGGACGCTCCCGCACCTGCACGCTCGCCTTCGAGCTGCTGCTCGCCGACCCGCTGCAGTTCTTTCCCATTGAGGTGTCCGTGGAGGACGTCAATGACCACTCGCCGGTCTTCCCGGACGAAAGGCTGACCTTTAAGATCCCAGAACTGACAGAAGCTGGCTCCCGTTTCCCAGTGGAGGCTGCTCAGGACCTGGACATTGGCAGCAATGACATCCAGGCTTACAGCATCGCTCCTGAGAACGAGTTCTTCAGTGTCTTCAGGCAGAGCGAGAGCGCCAAGTTTATAGAACTGATTTTGCAAAAGCCTCTGGACAGAGAGGAGCAGCCAGAGATGGATTTCTCTCTCATTGCCACAGATGGGGGCTCTCCACCACGCACAGGTTCCACTCAAGTGCACATTGTTGTTCTGGATGTAAATGACAATGCTCCAGTCTTCACAGAGAAGCAGTATATCGTTAACGTTCTGGAAAATGCTCCAGAGGGTTCGGTGATTCTCAAAGTCATCGCCAGTGATGCAGATGAGGGTGCTAATGGTGACATTTCCTATCAGCTCAGCCAATCAGCTGGACGTAGCCATTCATTATTCACAATTAACTCCAGAACAGGTGAAATTGAAATTGCACAGGCTTTGGATTTTGAGACCGCACAAAAACATGAGTTCACCGTGCTGGCAATTGACGGTGGGGGTCTCTCAGCCATGTGCAATGTGGTAGTGGATGTGATGGATGTGAACGACAACGCACCAGAGATCGTGGTCAGTTCCTTCAGCAGCCCGATCCCTGAGAATGCAGCACCCGGGACAGTGGTCGCCCTCTTCTCTGTCACCGACAAGGATTCCGGTGTGAATGGGGAGATCAGCTGTGCCCTGGCAGAACAGCTGTCGTTCTCCCTGCGGCCGGCCTTTAAGAACTACTACGAGCTGGTGACCGTGAGCGCGTTGGACCGGGAGCAAACGGCACGTTACACGGTGGTTGTCACGGCCGCAGATGCAGGGTCTCCTCGTCTGAGCGGCAGCCACACGTTCACCGTGGACGTCTCGGACGTGAATGACAACGCGCCCGTGTTCAACCAGACGTCGTACACCATGTACGTGCACGAGAACAACGTCCCCGCGCTGCTGGTCGGGGCCGTGCAGGCAAGGGACGCGGACGCGGGAGCCAACGGCAAGGTGAGCTATTCGCTGGTGGCGGCCGATCCGCCCGAGCGAGAGCCGTGCTCGTGCGTGTCCGTGAACTCCGAGAGCGGAGCCGTGTTCGTGCTGCGGCCGCTGGACTACGAGCAGCTGAGGCAGCTGGAGGTGGTGGTGAGCGCTGCGGACGCGGGGTCCCCTCCCCTGAGCAGCAGCGTCGGCGTCCGCCTGCTGGTGGTGGACGAGAACGACAACGCGCCGCTGGTGCTGCACCCCAGCGCGCAGGACGGCGGCCCTGCTTGGAGCGAGCCGGTGCCCGCGTGGGCCGAAGCGGGGGACCTGGTGAGCAAAGTGGTGGCCGTGGACGCCGACTCGGGGCAGAACTCGTGGCTTTCGTACCGGCTGCTGAGGGCCACGGAGCCGGGGCTGTTTGCCGTGGGCGCCCAAAGCGGGGAGGTGCGGCTGAGGAGGCCGCCGACGGAGAGGGACGCGGCGAAGCAGAAGCTGGTCGTGCTGGTGCGGGACAACGGGCGGCCGCCGCTGTCGGCCACGGCGGCGCTCAGCGTGCTCCTCCTGCACGGCTCCCGGGACGCTGAGCTGCCGCAGCAGAGCCCCGCCGCGCACGACGACGACGGCTCCCTCACCGCCTCCTTGATCGTCGCCTTGGTCTTGGTCTCGCTCCTGTTCCTGGTGTCGGCGGCGGCCTTTGCGGCGTGCAAGGCGTGCAAGAGCAAGGAGCCGAGTAGCGGGCACGTGCTGTACGGCCCCAGCGGCGTGCCGAGCTGCGTGGCTGACGGGGCCGCTGCCGGCACCCTGCCCCACGCCTATTGCTACGAGCTCAGCCTCACCACGGGCTCGGGCAGCAGCGAGTTCCAGTTCCTCAAGCCCGTGCTGCCCAGCCTGCCGGCGCAGCGCTGCAGCACGGGGGTGGCCGGCGACGATGCCGAGCATTTCCCTGCTGTCCCTGTCCCCGTGGGGGATGCTGATGTCGAGAGCCCCGGGATGCAGGCTGTGGGACAGTTTCACGGCTTGTAATTAGCACTGCGTCTGCGCTTCAGGCAGCATCAAGGCTTGTTTAGTGTGGCTTCTGTGCTTTGATAGTTATGTCCATGTCTGCTTGTTTAGATCTGCATTTGTAGTTCACCTCCCATTCCACAAGAACATAAATGTAATTGGAAGCTGTGGATATTAACAGGAAAGTGAGTGTGTGCTTTCTGAGTCTCCCCTAGATTTCAGTCCCTCAGCCTTCTAGCTCTGGCCACAACAGAAATTCCCTGTGTTTCAAGAGGTCCCCAGAAATGTGTGTTTCTGCTGACAGCCCATGTGCCAGCTGGATGAGGACAGAGCGTGCAGGATGTGAGGGCTGGATTTGGTGCCACCTGTGAAGCGAGCAGAGTTCATCAGTTGCAATGGTTGGCTTCCTGTGGCTGATGAGGGCTTGCGTGCAAGCGTTTCCAGGCACGCCACTGAGTGAGGAGAGCGGGACCCGCCAATGCTCCAGCCTGGAAATATGTTTGTCCTGCTCTATTTAATCTTCCAGCCAAGTTCACTGGATGCACAGGGAGTTGCAGCTTTGCTTTGTGCACATGGGCTGCATTCTCTGACGTTAACGGAAATCATGAAGAGGGTAAGAAGGTTTTTGTTTAATTCCCCATTATGCAACTTCCCTGTGTGACTTGTTTTGGTTTGTGTTGAATGCCATTGGTGTGCAGTGCTGTCTGTTGCAGTGAAAGGTTCCTTTTGTGAGAAGTGCTTTTGTATAAATGCTTCAGTAATTGTAACTTGAGGTGGAGCAAGAGCAGATAGAGCTGGGGCAGAGCTGACATGGCTGACGATCCCCTGGAAGTGTAGTGGGCAGCATCTGAGTGTGTGAGAGAGCTTCTGAGGGCTTGGTTGTTTGTGTTTGTCTAGAATGCCTCGTGTTCCCTCTACTCCCTTAAGCTGCAACAAGAACACGGTGCCTGTTTTATACGTGCCGTGTAAAGACAGGATTCTGATGTGTTCTGTGTGTTTCGGGATTGCCTCTGTAGTGGGGTTATTTGCCCGGTGCCCAGCTCCTTTCTTGTCCCATGTGCTGGGTGATCATTTGGGCCATGCTTATCCGTGTGGGGATGCAGAAGTGCAGAGGTGCGGGGCTCAGTGTGTGGGGCAGTTTTCTGGGGTTCCCTTCATTAGCAGTGAGTCTGCCCAGCTGGTGTCTTAGTGGGTGGAGAAAGGAAGGGCTGTGTGCAATGGCATGGAGCTGCAGAGGGAAGCTGCGTTTGCAGTTGGCATCACACATTCCCAGACCGCTGAGTGAGAAGGAAGGTTTCCCTGCATGTTCTCTGAAGGAAGGTGATGAACAGAAACGTGCAGCAGGTTCTGAGAGTGCTGCTGTGGAGCCCTGTGTTCCAACAGGTGCAGGCACTGCATTCTTGCTTTACAGCATTGTGTTTCTCCCCGTGTGTGCTGTGTGTTTTGCCTCCTGGTCATGATGTCTCTCCATCCAGCTGTGCTCTTATCCAGCCACTCTGATGCATTCTCCTGCAGCTCAGCTGTTCAACGGGGTCATTGCTGAGTGCAGCAGCCAGCAATACAGCTGCACTCGTGGTGTTGGGACACAGCGCAACACGTGGGTGTGCAGCGTTGTGGCTTGCCTGGGCTGCACTGAGTAAATAGGAAAGGTGCAGGCTGCATAGAGAGACATTGCTCTGAAAGTAATGCCTGCTCTTTGTTTCCATGGTAATATCCAGTGACAAAATAGGCACTGTCACACTGTTGGATGGTGCAGATTCACAGCTGGAAATTGCTATTTTTAATGTAGTCACTGTGACATCTGTGCATATTGAACGGTGGTGTACCTGAGCCTGCATGTTGTGCTCATAATAATCTGCAGCAGTGGAGGTGACCCTGTGTTGCTGACGTTTAAACGCATCACCCACCACCTCATGGTGCTCAGCTCCGCTGTCTGGTCTCCATAAACCTTCAGCAGGCGTTGGTGAATCTCAGTGGGTGCAATTGTTTCTGCATGGCATAAGTCAGTGCTGCCTGGTTGCCACATATGCACTTCCATGTCAGATGTCAGTTTATCAGACTGCCCTCTGCATCCATCTGTCACGTGGTTCCCAAAGAGAATGGGATGTTGGTGGGAAGGTTCAACCTCTGCTGCCAGACCTTCAACATCCGCCTTGGATATCATGGGCCACCACAGTAGAATGGCAGGCATTACTTTCAGAGAATCCCCTAGAATGTACATTGTTGTTATGAGGAAAGGAAGAAAACATTGAAGTTCTTAATATTTTTCTTGTAACTTCAAAAAAATAAAGAGGAACAAAACCATGAAGTCATTGGGATATTTGACCTTTTTTTGGTGACAGCAATGCATCAGGCTGGTTGGTGGGAATGGAAGCATTTCTTCCTGTGTTCTCAATGTCTTCATTAGAGTTTTTTTGATGAAATTTTACTCTTTCAATGCTTTATAATTTAAAACCGTACTTCTCAAATATTCATACTTTGAAAATGCAATGACCTGATTAAGCACTGATGGAGAATGGAGAGATATTTCTGTGTGGTGAGCTGGGGATTGTGAAAGCCTTCTCCAGGCAGGGCTCCAGCTGCAAGGCCCAAGCTGCAGAAAGCAAAGGTAAGAACTGGGAGAAGGAAGATGTGCCTGCTGTCAGTGAAGACCGGGTTGGTGATCATCTAAAGAAGCTGCAGGAGCAGAAGTGCATGGGACACAATGAGATCCATCCATGGGTTCTGAGGCAGACGAAGTTGCCAAGGCTCTATCCATCATATCTGAAAGGTCATATCAGTCTGGTGAAGTTTTCACTGATTGGAAAATTGGAAACATAGCCACCTTTTCAAGAAGCAAAAATCAGAAGATGCAGGGATCTGAAGGCCGCTGAATCTCATCTCTGTGCCTTTCAAGATCATGGAGCAGATCATCCTGAAGTCCCTTCTGAGGCACACGGACAACAGAGTAGGGGATTGGTGGTAACCGACATGGCTTCATCAAGGGCAAGTCATGTATGGCAAACCTGGTGGCCTTTTATGATGAAATTAAAACATCAGTGGATGAATGAAGAGCAGCTGATGTCATCCAGGTGGACTTGTGAAAGGTTTGATAAGGTTGCGCATGACATCTGGTCACCAAATTGAAGAGACATGGATTTGATGGATGGGTTTTGATTGCTGGATAGAGAATTGTCTGTGTGATTGCACTCAGAGTGTTGCAGTCATTGTCGCAATGTCCAAGTAGAGACTGGTGATGTGCATCGGCCCTCAAGGGTCAGTGCTGGGACTGTTTCTATTTCACATCTTTGGAGGTGACCTGGACAAGGAAATTGAGTGCAGCCCTCAGCAAGTTTGCAGATGACAGCAAGCTGAGTTTGCAGGTGACCTGCTAGAGGGAAGGGCTGCCATCCAGAGGGACTGATCAGGCTGAAGAGGTGGGCCCAGGGCAACCTCATGAAGTTCAAGCAAGGCAAGTGAGAGGTTGTGCACCTGGGTCAAGGCAATCCCTAGCTGAAATACAGGCTGTGCAGGGAACGGCTTGAGAGCAGCCCTGAGGAGAAGGATTTGGGGGTGTTGCTTGCTGAGAGGCTGAAGATGGGCGACAATGTGCTCTGCAGCGCAGAAGGCCGAAGCTTTCCTAGTCTGCATCAAGAGAAGCCTGGCCAGCATGCTGAGGGTGGTGATTCTGACCTCTACTTGTCTCTCTTTAGACCCCGCTTGGAGGACTGTGTCCAGTTCCTGTGCCTGCTACACAAGAAGGCCATGGAGCTGTTGGAGCAGGTCTGGAGGAGGGCCACGAAGATGATGAGGGGGCTGGAGCAGCTCTGCTATGAGAACTGGCAGAGAGAGCTGGGACTGTTCAGCCTAGAGAAGAAAAATGCTGCGAGGGGATCTTATAACGGCCTTCCAGCACATGAAGGGGCCACAGGAAAGGCGATGTGTTTTCACTGAAATGGAGCCTGCATGTCACGCCCTTATTAATGTACATCTGAGGAGCTGACTGTCTCTTGCCACTGCTGAATTACATCGTGCAACACCTCATGGTGCTCACATCCACTGTTTGGTCTCCATAAACATTCATTAAGTCTTGATGAATATCAGCAGGTCTGATTGCTTCTGCATGGAGGAATTCAGTGATGCATCGATACTTCATATGCATTTACATGTCTGAAGCAGTTTTAACAGACTGCCACCCTTACTGCCATTCAAGTGTACCTACCTGGACTTACCCAAATTATTGGACACGGTCCCACATAACATCCTGATCACCAATTTGGAGACAAGTGCCTTTGATGGATGGATCTCTCACTCTGTAAGGAATTGGCTGCACGTTTGTGCTCAGGGAGCTGTGGTCAGTGGCTCAATGCCTGAGTGCAGTTCTGTGATGAGTGGCATTTCTCAGGGACTGGTGCTGGCACCAGTGCTATTGGACATCTGTGTGTGTGACATGGACAGGGCCCTGAGTGCAGCAAGGTGGTTGGAAGTGGCTGATCCTTGAGGTTCCTTCCAAGCAAAGCCATTCTATGATTCTGTGATTGTGTGCACCCTCTGCAAGTTTGCAGATGACTCCGAGCTGAGTGGGGCTGTGGACATGCTGGATGGAAGGGATGCCATCCAGAGGGACTGATCAGGCTTGAGATGCGGGCCCATGGCAACCTCATGAAGTTCAAGCAAGGCAAGTGAGAGGTTGTGCACCTGGGTCAAGGCAATCCGTAGCTGAAATACAGGCTGTGCAGAGAACAGCTTGAGAGCAGCCCTGAGGAAAAGGACTTTGAGGTGTTGCTTGCTGAGAGGCTGAAGATGGGCGACAGTGTGCTCTGCCGCCCAGAAGGCCGAAGCTTTCCTAGGCTGCATCAAGAGAAGCATGGCCAGCCAGTGGAGAGAAGTGATTCTTCCCCTCAACTCTGACTTTGTGAAACCCCACCTGGAGTCGTGCTGCAAGCTCTGAGGCTACTAACACAAGAAGAACATGGAGATGTTGGAGCAGGTTTGGAGGAGGGCCATGGAGACAGTGCGAAGGCTGGAGCAGCTCCGCTATGAGGACAGGCTGAGAGAGCTGGGGTAGTTCAGCCTGGGGAAGAGAAACGCTCCGGGGGACCTTATTGTGACCTTCCAGTATCTGAAGGTGGCTGACCGGAAATTTGGGGAGAGGCTTTTAGAAGCGCCTGTGGTGACAGGAAGAGGGGAAATAGCACTGAAATGGAAGACTATAGATTTGGACTAGATATCAGGCAGAAATTCCTTGCTGTGATGGTGGTGAGATGCTGCAATGGGTTGCCCAGAGTGGTTGTGGTTGCCCCTTCCCTGGAGTGATTCAAGGTCAGGCTGGATGGGGCTGTGAGCAACCTGGTCTGGTGGGAGGTGTCCCAGCCTATAACAGGAGAGCTGAAACTAGCGAGTCTTAAAGATCCCTCCCTTCCAACCCACAGCCTTCTAGGATTCCATGAAATCTCGTGAAGACATGTAGTCAGATTTCTGTGTTGAATATCTGGTTGCAACTCTGGACGTTCAGTTGTTTAAATTTGCTGCTGCTGTATTTATATCAACATAAAACAGAGATGTGGACATCAATGCATACTCAGTCATATTATTTTATCAAATGTGAAAGAACAGCTGATTATTCTTTGCTCTTTAGTGCTCCCTGATCAGCAAATGCATGAAGTGTGAGCAGTTACTTCCTCTATCCATTTTCCTGTTTAGAAAACGTGTTCCTATTGACATATCTGTTCCATAAAGTGTACTGCCAGATCACTGAGAATAAGGGAATGTTAGAAAGAAGATGATTTGGCACAAGAGATTCAAACATTGTGTTATGTTGCTCTTATAAAAGGTACTGTTGTGAACAAGGCTGACACTGTCTGTTGAACTAATATAAAAAGAGACTTGGAGAGCCATTCCTGTAATAAAACAGGTGGTGTTGTTCTGACAAACTTTGCAGAGATGTTTGTTTGTTTCGTTGCTTCCGGGAAAAACCTGCAAAAGAGCTTTGGAAACACTTGGGGCTTTTTTACTGTTCAATGCTTGCAACAGAAGAAATAGTATTTAGAACATGTTCTTATCCCCTGTCGTTGCCCCTGTGTTTCCTACAGCGGCTGTGGTTGAGTTCGGGGCTGATTTTAACGGGTGCGGGGATTTGGGTGGGTCGGGCTGGCGGCTGTCGGGGCGGGCGAGGAGGCGGGGAGGTGGCGGGCGCTGCAGCTTCGTTGCGTTGTCCGAGGCGGCGTGCGGGCAGGAGCGCGGGCGCTGGCTGTGGGCGCTGCCCGTGGCGGCGGCGTGTGTGAGCGGGAGGCAGCGGGGGTGCGCGCGTGTGTGCGGGGTGCGTGTGGCGGCGAGAGGGCGCGGGCAGGAGCGCGTCCCGTCCCCGGAGCAGTCCCGGCGCGGGCCGCAGGGTGGTGCTCGTGGCCAAGGCGGCGCCGAGCGGCTGCGGGCGGGGCGGGGAGGGGGAGAGGCCGAGCCGAGCGCAGCGCAGCGCATCCGGGAGGAGGCGGCGGAGAGCGGCGGCGGAGAGCGGCGGCGGAGAGCGGCGGCGGAGAGCGGCGGCGGAGAGCGGCGGCGGAGAGCGGCGGCGGAGAGCGGCGGCGGAGAGCGGCGGCGGAGAGCGGCGGCGGAGAGCGGCGGCGAGCGGTTGTCCGTGCTGCCGTGAGGTGCGTGTGAGCCGCCGCCGCGCTGTGACGATCGCGCTCCGGGCTCCGGGCTCAGTCCGCAGTCGGCGAGAGGCGGCGAGAGAGCCGAGCGGGGAGGGAGGCCCACCGTCCGTCCCGCCGCGCCGCTGCCGGGCGCCGCTTCCCGCGGAGGAGCGCGCTTCCCGGCCGGCCGGAGGGTGTCCGGCGGCCCGGCATGGCGGCTGCGAGGCAAGTGCTGTGTGTGTGGGCTTTGCTGGGCGTGGCGCGCGTTCGCTGCGAGCCCATCCGCTACTCCGTGGCCGAGGAGGGCGAGAGCGGCTCGCCGGTGGGCGACGTGGCGGAGGACGCGGGGCTGGCCCCGGCGCAGCTCTGGGCTCGCCGGGCGCGCATCGCCTCGCCGGCCGGCCGGCAGCACTTTGGCTTAGAGCGCGGCAGCGGCCGCCTCGTGCTCGCCGAGCGGCTCGATCGGGAGGAGCTGTGCGGACGCTCCCGCACCTGCACGCTCGCCTTCGAGCTGCTGCTCGCCGACCCGCTGCAGTTCTTTCCCATTGAGGTGTCCGTGGAGGACGTCAATGACCACTCGCCGGTCTTCCCGGGCGAACGGCTGACCTTTAAGATCCCAGAACTGACAGAAGCTGGCTCCCGTTTCCCAGTGGAGGCTGCTCAGGACCTGGACATTGGCAGCAATGACATCCAGGCTTACAGCATCGCTCCTGAGAACGAGTTCTTCAGTGTCTTCAGGCAGAGCGAGAGCGCCAAGTTTATAGAACTGATTTTGCAAAAGCCTCTGGACAGAGAGGAGCAGCCAGAGATGGATTTCTCTCTCATTGCCACAGATGGGGGCTCTCCACCACGCACAGGTTCCACTCAAGTGCACATTGTTGTTCTGGATGTAAATGACAATGCTCCAGTCTTCACAGAGAAGCAGTATATCGTTAACGTTCTGGAAAATGCTCCAGAGGGTTCGGTGATTCTCAAAGTCATCGCCAGTGATGCAGATGAGGGTGCTAATGGTGACATTTCCTATCAGCTCAGCCAATCAGCTGGACGTAGCCATTCATTATTCACAATTAACTCCAGAACAGGTGAAATTGAAATTGCACAGGCTTTGGATTTTGAGACCGCACAAAAACATGAGTTCACCGTGCTGGCAATTGACGGTGGGGGTCTCTCAGCCATGTGCAATGTGGTAGTGGATGTGATGGATGTGAACGACAACGCACCAGAGATCGTGGTCAGTTCCTTCAGCAGCCCGATCCCTGAGAATGCAGCACCCGGGACAGTGGTCGCCCTCTTCTCTGTCACCGACAAGGATTCCGGTGTGAATGGGGAGATCAGCTGTGCCCTGGCAGAACAGCTGTCGTTCTCCCTGCGGCCGGCGTTTAAGAACTACTACGAGCTGGTGACCGTGAGCGCGTTGGACCGGGAGCAAACGGCACGTTACACGGTGGTTGTCACGGCCGCAGATGCAGGGTCTCCTCGTCTGAGCGGCAGCCACACGTTCACCGTGGACGTCTCGGACGTGAATGACAACGCGCCCGTGTTCAACCAGACGTCGTACACCATGTACGTGCACGAGAACAACGTCCCCGCGCTGCTGGTCGGGGCCGTGCAGGCAAGGGACGCGGACGCGGGAGCCAACGGCAAGGTGAGCTATTCGCTGGTGGCGGCCGATCCGCCCGAGCGAGAGCCGTGCTCGTGCGTGTCCGTGAACTCCGAGAGCGGAGCCGTGTTCGTGCTGCGGCCGCTGGACTACGAGCAGCTGAGGCAGCTGGAGGTGGTGGTGAGCGCTGCGGACGCGGGGTCCCCTCCCCTGAGCAGCAGCGTCGGCGTCCGCCTGCTGGTGGTGGACGAGAACGACAACGCGCCGCTGGTGCTGCACCCCAGCGCGCAGGACGGCGGCCCTGCTTGGAGCGAGCCGGTGCCCGCGTGGGCCGAAGCGGGGGACCTGGTGAGCAAAGTGGTGGCCGTGGACGCCGACTCGGGGCAGAACTCGTGGCTTTCGTACCGGCTGCTGAGGGCCACGGAGCCGGGGCTGTTTGCCGTGGGCGCCCAAAGCGGGGAGGTGCGGCTGAGGAGGCCGCCGACGGAGAGGGACGCGGCGAAGCAGAAGCTGGTCGTGCTGGTGCGGGACAACGGGCGGCCGCCGCTGTCGGCCACGGCGGCGCTCAGCGTGCTCCTCCTGCACGGCTCCCGGGACGCTGAGCTGCCGCAGCAGAGCCCCGCCGCGCACGACGACGACGGCTCCCTCACCGCCTCCTTGATCGTCGCCTTGGTCTTGGTCTCGCTCCTGTTCCTGGTGTCGGCGGCGGCCTTTGCGGCGTGCAAGGCGTGCAAGAGCAAGGAGCCGAGTAGCGGGCACGTGCTGTACGGCCCCAGCGGCGTGCCGAGCTGCGTGGCTGACGGGGCCGCTGCCGGCACCCTGCCCCACGCCTATTGCTACGAGCTCAGCCTCACCACGGGCTCGGGCAGCAGCGAGTTCCAGTTCCTCAAGCCCGTGCTGCCCAGCCTGCCGGCGCAGCGCTGCAGCACGGGGGTGGCCGGCGACGATGCCGAGCATTTCCCTGCTGTCCCTGTCCCCGTGGGGGATGCTGATGTCGAGAGCCCCGGGATGCAGGCTGTGGGACAGTTTCACGGCTTGTAATTAGCACTGCGTCTGCGCTTCAGGCAGCATCAAGGCTTGTTTAGTGTGGCTTCTGTGCTTTGATAGTTATCTCCATGTCTGCTTGTTTAGATCTGCATTTGTAGTTTTCCTCCCATTCCACAAGAACATAAGTGTAATTGGAAGCTGTGGATATTAACAGGAAAGTGAGTGTGTGCTTTCTGAGTCTCCCCTAGATTTCAGTCCCTCAGCCTTCTAGCTCTGGCCACAACAGAAATTCCCTGTGTTTCAAGAGGTCCCCAGAAATGTGTGTTTCTGCTGACAGCCCATCTGCCAGCTGGATGAGGACAGAGCGTGCAGGATGTGAGGGCTGGATTTGGTGCCACCTGTGAAGCGAGCAGAGTTCATCAGTTGCAATGGTTGGCTTCCTGTGGCTGATGAGGGCTTGCATGCAAGCGTTTCCAGGCACGCCACTGAGTGAGGAGAGCGGGACCTGCCAATGCTCCAGCCTGGAAATACGTTTGTCCTGCTCTATTGAATCTTCCAGCCACGTTCACTGGACGCACAGGGAGTTGCAGCTTTGCTTTGTGCACATGGGCTGCATTCTCTGACGTTAACGGAAATCATGAAGAGGGTAAGAAGGTTTCTGTTATAATTCCCCATTATGCAACTTCCCTGTGTGACTTGTTTTGGTTTGTGTTGAATGCCATCGGTGTGCAGTGCTGTCTGTTGCAGTGAAAGGTTCTTTTTGTGTTGAAGTGCTTTTGTATAAATGCTTCAGTAATTGTAACTTGAGGTGGAGCAAGAGCAGATAGAGCTGGGGCAGAGCTGGCATGGCTGACGATCCCCTGGAAGTGTAGTGGGCAGCGTCTGAGTGTGTGAGAGAGCTTCTGAGGGCTTGGTTGTTTGTGTTTGTCTAGAATGCCTCGTGTTCCCTCTACTCCCTTAAGCTGCAACAACAACACGGTGCCTGTTTTATACGTGCCGTGTAAAGACAGGATTCTGATGTGTTCTGTGTGTTTCTGGATTGCCTCTGTAGTGGGGTTCTTTGCCTGGTGCCCAGCTCCTTTCTTGTCCCATGTGCTGGGTGATCATTTGGGCCGTGCTGATCCGTGTGGGGATGCAGAAGTGCAGAGGTGCGGGGCTCAGTGTGTGGGACAGTTTTCTGGGGTTCCCTTCATTAGCAGTGAGTCTGCCCAGCCGGTGTCTTAGTGGGTGGAGAAAGGAAGGGCTGTGTGCAATGGCATGGAGCTGCAGAGGGAAGCTGCGTTTGCAGTTGGCATCACACATTCCCAGACCGCTGAGTGAGAAGGAAGGTTTCCCTGCATGTTCTCTGAAGGAAGGTGGTGAACAGAAACGTGCAGCAGGTTCTGAGAGTGCTGCTGTGGAGCCCTGTGTTCCAAGAGGTGCAGGCACTGCCTTCTTGCTTTGCAGCGTTGTGCTTCTCCCCGTGTGTGCTGTGTGTTTTGCCTCCTGGTCATGATGTCTCTCCATCCAGCTGTGCTCTTATCCAGCCACTCTGATGCATTCTCCTGCAGCTCAGCTGTTCAACGGGGTCATTGCTGAGTGCAGCAGCCAGCAATACAGCTGCACTCGTGGTGTTGGGACACAGCGCAACACGTGGGTGTGCAGCGTTGTGGCTTGCCTGGGCTGCACTGAGTAAATAGGAAAGGTGCAGGCTGCATAGAGAGACATTGCTCTGAAAGTAATGCCTGCTCTTTGTTTCCATGGTAATATCCAGTGACAAAAGAGACACTGTCACACTGTTGGATGGTGCAGATTCACAGCTGGAAATTGCTATTTTTAAACAGAGTCACTGTCACATCTGTGCATATTGAACGGTGGTGTACCTGAGCCTGCATGTTGTGCTCATAATAATCTGCAGCAGTGGAGGTGACCCTGTGTTGCTGATGTTTAAACGCATCACCCACCACCTCATGGTGCTCAGCTCCGCTGTCTGGTCTCCATAAACCTTCAGCAGGCGTTGGTGAATCTCAGTGGGTGCAATTGTTTCTGCATGGCATAAGTCAGTGCTGCCTGGTTGCCACATACACACTTCCATGTCAGATGTCAGTTTATCAGACTGCCCTCTGCATCCATCTGTCACGTGGTTCCCAAAGAGAATGGGATGTTGGTGGGAAGGTTCAACCTCTGCTGCCAGACCTTCAACATCCGCTTTGGATATCATGGGCCACCACAGTAGAATGGCAGGCATTACTTTCAGAGCAACCCTTAGAATATACATTAGTGTTATTAGGAAAGGAAGAAAGCATTGAAGTTCTTAATATTTTTCTTATAACTTCAAATAAATAAATAAATAAAGAGGAAAAAAAACCATGAAGCCATTCGGACATTTTGACTTTTCTTTTGGTGGCACCAAGGCATCAGGCTGGTTTGGTGGGAATGGATGCATTTCTTCCTGTGTTCTCAATGTCTTCATTAGAGTTTTTTGATGAAATTTTACTCTTTCAATGCTTTATAATTTAAAACCATTCTTCACATATGTTCATACTTTGAAAATACAATGACCTGATTAAGCACTGATGGAGAATTGAGAGATATTTTTGTGTGGTGAGCATGGGATTGTAAAAATCTTCCCCAGGCAGGGCTCCAGCTGCACGGCCCAAGCTGCAGAAAGCAAAGGTAAGAACTGGGAGAAGGAAGATGTGCCTGCTGTCAGTGAAGACCGGGTTGGTGATCATCTAAAGAAGCTGCAGGAGCAGAAGTGCATGGGACCCAATGAGATCCATCCATGGGTTCTGAAGCAGACCAAGTTGCCAAGGCTCTATCCATCATATCTGAAAGGTCATGGCAGTCTGGTGAAGTTCTCACTGATTGGAAAATTGGAAATATAACTCCTATTTTCACAAAAGGAAAAAATGAGAAGATGCAGGGATCTGAAGGCCACTGAGTCTCATCTCTGTGCCTGCTAAGATTGTGGAGCAGATCATCCTGAAGTCCCTTCTGAGGCACATGGACAACAGAGGAGGTGATTGGTGGTAACCGACATGGCTTCATCAAGGGCGAGTCATGCATGGCAAACCTGGTAGCCTTTTATGATGAAATTAAAACATCAGTGGATGAATGAAGAGCAGCTGATGTCATCCAGGTGGACTTGTGAAAGGTTTGATAAGGTTGCGCATGACATCTGGTCACCAAATTGAAGAGACATGGATTTGATGGATGGGTTTTGATTGCTGGATAGAGAATTGTCTGTGTGATTGCACTCAGAGTGATGCAGTCTTTGCCACAATATCCATGTAGAGACTGGTGATGTGCATCGGCCCTCAAGGGTCAGTGCATGGACCGTTTGTATTTCACATCTTTGGATGTGACCTGGACAAGGAAATTGAGTGCGCCCTCAGCAAGTTTGCAGATGACAGCAAGCTGAGTTTGCAGGTGACCTGCTAGAGGGAAGGGCTGCCATCCAGAGGGACTGATCAGGCTGAAGAGGCGGGCCCAGGGCAACCTCATGAAGTTCAAGCAAGGCAAGTGAGAGGTTGTGCACCTGGGTCAAGGCAATCCCTAGCTGAAATACAGGCTGTGCAGAGAACGGCTTGAGAGCAGCCCTGAGGAGAAGGATTTGGGGGTGTTGCTTGCTGAGAGGCTGAAGATGGGCGACAATGTGCTCTGCAGCGCAGAAGGCCGAAGCTTTCCTAGTCTGCATCAAGAGAAGCCTGGCCAGCATGCTGAGGGTGGTGATTCTGACCTCTACTTGTCTCTCTTTAGACCCCGCTTGGAGGACTGTGTCCAGTTCTGGTGCCTGCTACACAAGAAGGCCATGGAGCTGTTGGAGCAGGTCTGGAGGAGGACCACGAGGATGATGAGGGGGCTGGAGCAGCTCTGCTATGAGAACTGGCAGAGAGAGCTGGGACTGTTCAGCCTAGAGAAGAAAAATGCTGCGAGGGGATCTTATAACGGCCTTCCAGCACATGAAGGGGCCACAGGAAAGGCGATGTGTTTTCACTGAATGGGGGCCCGCCTGTTGCACTCATATTAATGTACAACTGACCTTGCCACTGCTGAATTACTTCATCCAACACCTCGTGGTGCTCACATCCACAGTTTGGTCTCCATAAACATTCATTAAGTCTTGATGAATGTCAGCAGATATGATTGCTTCTGCATGGAGGAATTCAGTCATACTTCGTATGCATTTACATGTCTGAAGCAGTTTTGTCAGACTGCCATTGTTCTGCCATCCATCACTTGGCACCAAAATCCACACTGGCATATTGGTGGGACCACTTAGCCTCTGCTGCCATACCACCAGCATCAGCCTTGGAGAAGTTGGTCCAATGCAGTAAATAAGGAGGCATTACTTTCAGGGCTGCCCTGGTAGATTATGCAGAATCGTTGTTATGTAAGAAATAAAACATCAAAATTTTTAGTATTTTTTTTGTAGAACTTCTGAAAAGGGAGGAACAAACACCTGAAACCAGTGGGATATTTGATCTTTTCTTGGTGACAGCAATGCATCAGAATGGTTTGGTGGTAGTGGATGCAATTCTTATGGAGATCTCAGTGTCTTCATCAGGAATTTTGGATTGAATGTTTCTTCCTTGAAAGCAATAGTTGACAAGTGTATATACTTCCCATAAGTAATGACATGAGTAAAGGCAGATGGTGAATTGAGAGATATTTCTGTGTGGTGAGCTGGGGATTGTGAAAGTCTTCCCCAGGCAGGGCTCCAGCTGCACGGCCCAAGCTGCAGAAAGCAAAGGTAAGAACTGGGAGAAGGAAGATGTGCCTGCTGTCAGTGAAGACCGGGTTGGTGATCATCTAAAGAAGCTGCAGATGCACAAGGGCATGGGATCCAAGGAGATCCATCCATGGGTTCTGAAGCAGACCAAGTTGCCAAGGCTCTATCCATCATATTTGAAGCGTCATGGCAGTCTGGTGAAGTTCTCACTGATTGGAAAATTGGAAATATAATCCCCCTTTTCAAGAAGGGAAAAATGAGAAGATGCAGGGATCTGAAGGCCATTCAGTCTCACCTCTGTGCCTTTCAAGATCATGAAGCAGATCATCCTGAAGTCCCTTCTGAGGCACATGGACAACAGAGGAGGTGATTGGTGGTAACCGACATGGCTTCATCAAGGGCGAGTCATGCATGGCAAACCTGGTGACCTTTTATGATGAAATTACAGCATCAGTGGATGAATGAAGAGCAGCTGATGTCATCCAGGTGGACTTGTGAAAGGTTTGATAAGGTTGTGCATGACATCTGGTCACCAAATTGAACAAAACATGGATTTGATGGACAGAGCGCTCGGTGCTCAAGGAATTGGCTGGATGGTCGCACTCAGTTGTAGTCAATACTGCGATGTCCAGGTGGAGGCCGTTGATGTGTGTCTGTCCTCAGGGCTCACTGCTGGGAGTGGTGTTCTTTAACATCTTTGGAGGTGACATGGCCAGTGGAACTGAGTGCACGCTGAGCAGTATTGCAGATGCCACAGAGCTGAGTGGTGCAGTTGACATGCTAGAGGGAAGGGATGCCATCCAGAGGAACTGGCTGAAGAGGTGGTCCCATGCCAACCTCATGAAGGTCAACTAAGACAAGATCACAGAATCACAAGGTTGGAAAGGACCTGCAAGATCATCCCATCCAACCACCCTCCCATCACCACTGCTACCAGAAGCTCTAAACCAGATCTCGCAGCTCCTCATCCAGTCACCTCTTGAACACTGCCAGGAACGGCGGCTCCACCACCTCCCTGGGCATCCATTCCAGTGCCTGACCGCTCTCTGAGAGAAAAAGTTCTTCTTTATGCCAAACTTAAACCTCCTCTGTTACAACTTGTGGCCATTTCCTTGTTTGTTGCCTGGGAAAAGAGGCCAAAACCCTCCTCATCTCAACCTCCGTTGAAAGTTGTACAGTGCAATGAAGTCTTCCCTGAGCCTCCTCTTCTCCAGACTGAACAATCCCAGCTCCCTCAGCCATTCCTCATAAGGTTTGTGCTCCAGACCCCTCATCAGTTTTGTTGCCCTTCTCTGGACACGCTCCAGGGCCTCAATGTCTTTCCTGTCGTGAGGGGCCCAAAACTGAACACAGTAGTCCAGGGGTGGCGACCCTAGTGCTGAGTACAGAGGGATGATCACCTCCCTGTTCCTCCTGGCCACACTGTTTCTAATGCAGGCCAGGATGCTGTTGGCCCTCTTGACCCGCTGGGCACACTGTGGGCTCCTGTTCAGCCAAGCATCAACCAACACGCCCAGGTCCCTTTCCTCTTCACAGTCATGCAGCCATTCAGCACTAAGCCTAACCCACTGCATGTGGTTATTGGGGCCAAAGTGCAGATTCCGGCACTGGGTCTTGTTGAACCTCATCCCATTCATCTCATCCCAGTGTTCCAGCTAATCAAGATCCCGCTGAAGGGCCTCCCTACCCTCAGGAAGATCAACACCACCCCCCAACTTGTTGTCATCTGCAAACTTTCTGAGGGTGCACTCAATGCCCCTCTTCCAGGTCATCAATAAAGATATTAAACAAGATGGGCCCCAGTACTGACCTCTGGGGGAAGCCACTTGTAATGAGTCACCAGCTGGTCTTTGCTCCATTAATTAGTACTGATGGGCACAGCCCTCTAGCCAGTTCCTTACTGAAAGAAAGGAATGCCTGTCCAGGCCACAGGCAGCCAGTTTCCCCAGAAGAATGCTGTGAGAGACCGTGTCAAAGGCTTTGCTGAAGCCTAGGTAGAGTACATCAACAGCCTTCCTACCTACATCTACCAGTTGGGTCATGCAGTCATAGAAGGAGATGATGTTGGTCAAGCATGACCTGCCTTTCGTGAGCCCATGCTGGCTGGGCCTGATCCCCTGGATGCCTCACACGTGCCGTGTGATCTCACCCAAGATGATTTGCTCCATAACTTTCTCTGGTACTGTGGTCAGGCTGTCAGGCCTGTAGTTCCCTGGCTCCTCCTTACAGCCCTTCTTGTAAATGGGAGTCACATCAGCAAGCCTCCAATCCTCTGGGAGCTCTCCAGACAACCAGGAACGCTGGAAGATGGCAGAGAGTGACTCAGCAATCACCTCCACCAGCTCCCTCAGCATTTTAGGATGGAGTCCATCTGGCCCCATGGACTTGTGACAGTCCAGATGGAGGAGCAACTCTCTCACTCTCTCTGCCTGAATCACTGGGAGTGTCTGTAGCATCCCAGACTTCCAGATCAGGCCGTAAAGTATGGATAGCTGATAACTGATAACAGATAACTGGTCTGCCTGTTAAGGGCAGATGTAAAGAAGGCGTTGAGGACCTCTGCCTTCTCCTTATCCTCAGATAAAGAAGTTCAGTGTGTTTGGATGGATTGTAACGCAAATCCAGGAATTCTCTTGAAGAACATTCTGTGCAAATGGAACAGTGACAGAGGTGTAAAAGTAGCCCTCAGTTTAGTGCCATCCCTTTTATTCTTTCTTGCTGAGGTTTCACATTGAGAGTGAACAGCAGCGGTGACAATATGGTCTGCAGAGTCTGCAGTCTTAGAAGAGGCTGCATGAATTTTCATTTCTTTTATTTTCATTTTTCTGCATGGATTGTGATGGAGCACTGTCAGATGTGCTCCCCTTGAAATATCCTTTTCTCCAAACAGAGCAAGCGATTGCCGCGGCGCGTGTGGAAGTGTTGAATTAAAAGTGCAATGGCATGGAATATTTGGAAAGAGACGCTGCGTTGCGCTGCGTGTTTTCTTCTTTCGTTGTCCGCTGCGTGTGGCGGCGAGAGGGCGCGGGCAGGAGCGCGTCCCGTCCCCAGAGCAGTCCCGGCGCGGGCCGCAGGGTGGTGCTCGTGGCCAAGGCGGCGCCGAGCGGCTGCGGGCGGGGCGGGGAGAGGGAGAGGCCGAGCCGAGCGCAGCGCAGCGCAGCGCAGCGCATCCGGGAGGAGGCGGCGGAGAGCGGCGGCGGAGAGCGGCGGCGGAGAGCGGCGGCGGAGAGCGGCGGCGGAGAGCGGCGGCGGAGAGCGGCGGCGGAGAGCGGCGGCGGAGAGCGGCGGCGAGCGGTTGTCCGTGCTGCCGTGAGGTGCGTGTGAGCCGCCGCCGCGCTGTGACGATCGCGCTCCGGGCTCCGGGCTCAGTCCGCAGTCGGCGAGAGGCGGCGAGAGAGCCGAGCGGGGAGGGAGGCCCACCGTCCGTCCCGCCGCGCCGCTGCCGGGCGCCGCTTCCCGCGGAGGAGCGCGCTTCCCGGCCGGCCGGAGGGTGTCCGGCGGCCCGGCATGGCGGCTGCGAGGCAAGTGCTGTGTGTGTGGGCTTTGCTGGGCGTGGCGCGCGTTCGCTGCGAGCCCATCCGCTACTCCGTGGCCGAGGAGGGCGAGAGCGGCTCGCCGGTGGGCGACGTGGCGGAGGACGCGGGGCTGGCCCCGGCGCAGCTCTGGGCTCGCCGGGCGCGCATCGCCTCGCCGGCCGGCCGGCAGCACTTTGGCTTAGAGCGCGGCAGCGGCCGCCTCGTGCTCGCCGAGCGGCTCGATCGGGAGGAGCTGTGCGGACGCTCCCGCACCTGCACGCTCGCCTTCGAGCTGCTGCTCGCCGACCCGCTGCAGTTCTTTCCCATTGAGGTGTCCGTGGAGGACATCAATGACCACTCGCCGGTCTTCCCGGACGAAAGGCTGACCTTTAAGATCCCTGAATTTACTGAAGCTGGCTCCCGTTTCCCAGTGGAGGCTGCTCAGGACCTGGACATTGGCAGCAATGACATCCAGGCTTACAGCATCGTTCCTGAGAACAATTTCTTCAATGTCTCCTATCAGAGAAAAAATGAGCATGATGTGCAGGTCCAGCTGTTTTTGCAACAGCCTCTGGACAGAGAGGAGCAGCCAGAGATGGATTTCACTCTCGTTGCCACGGATGGGGGCTCTCCACCCCGGACTGGAACCACTCAAATTCACATCAATGTTCTGGATGCAAACGACAATGCTCCCATTTTCACCCAGGATTTATATACAGGACACATTGTGGAAAGTGCCCCTGAGGACTCCTTAGTTCTCCGTGTGATGGCCACTGATGCAGATGTGGGAATTAATGGTGACATTTCCTATCAGTTCAGCCAAATGGTGAGCCAGAGCCAGCCAGCATTTACAATCAACCCCCAAAATGGAGAAATTCGAATAAAACAGCCTCTCGATTTTGAGACGCAACAGAAATATGATCTCAGTGTGCGGGCAGTGGATGGTGGAGGTCTCTCAGCACTCTGTAAGGTGTTGGTGGAGGTGGTGGATGTGAACGACAACGCACCAGAGATCGTGGTCAGTTCCTTCAGCAGCCCGATCCCTGAGAATGCAGCACCCGGGACAGTGGTCGCCCTCTTCTCTGTCACCGACAAGGATTCCGGTGTGAATGGGGAGATCAGCTGTGCCCTGGCAGAACAGCTGTCGTTCTCCCTGCGGCCGGCGTTTAAGAACTACTACGAGCTGGTGACCGTGAGCGCGTTGGACCGGGAGCAAACGGCACGTTACACGGTGGTTGTCACGGCCGCAGATGCAGGGTCTCCTCGTCTGAGCGGCAGCCACACGTTCACCGTGGACGTCTCGGACGTGAATGACAACGCGCCCGTGTTCAACCAGACGTCGTACACCATGTACGTGCACGAGAACAACGTCCCCGCGCTGCTGGTCGGGGCCGTGCAGGCAAGGGACGCGGACGCGGGAGCCAACGGCAAGGTGAGCTATTCGCTGGTGGCGGCCGATCCGCCCGAGCGAGAGCCGTGCTCGTGCGTGTCCGTGAACTCCGAGAGCGGAGCCGTGTTCGTGCTGCGGCCGCTGGACTACGAGCAGCTGAGGCAGCTGGAGGTGGTGGTGAGCGCTGCGGACGCGGGGTCCCCTCCCCTGAGCAGCAGCGTCGGCGTCCGCCTGCTGGTGGTGGACGAGAACGACAACGCGCCGCTGGTGCTGCACCCCAGCGCGCAGGACGGCGGCCCTGCTTGGAGCGAGCCGGTGCCCGCGTGGGCCGAAGCGGGGGACCTGGTGAGCAAAGTGGTGGCCGTGGACGCCGACTCGGGGCAGAACTCGTGGCTTTCGTACCGGCTGCTGAGGGCCACGGAGCCGGGGCTGTTTGCCGTGGGCGCCCAAAGCGGGGAGGTGCGGCTGAGGAGGCCGCCGACGGAGAGGGACGCGGCGAAGCAGAAGCTGGTCGTGCTGGTGCGGGACAACGGGCGGCCGCCGCTGTCGGCCACGGCGGCGCTCAGCGTGCTCCTCCTGCACGGCTCCCGGGACGCTGAGCTGCCGCAGCAGAGCCCCGCCGCGCACGACGACGACGGCTCCCTCACCGCCTCCTTGATCGTCGCCTTGGTCTTGGTCTCGCTCCTGTTCCTGGTGTCGGCGGCGGCCTTTGCGGCGTGCAAGGCGTGCAAGAGCAAGGAGCCGAGTAGCGGGCACGTGCTGTACGGCCCCAGCGGCGTGCCGAGCTGCGTGGCTGACGGGGCCGCTGCCGGCACCCTGCCCCACGCCTATTGCTACGAGCTCAGCCTCACCACGGGCTCGGGCAGCAGCGAGTTCCAGTTCCTCAAGCCCGTGCTGCCCAGCCTGCCGGCGCAGCGCTGCAGCACGGGGGTGGCCGGCGACGATGCCGAGCATTTCCCTGCTGTCCCTGTCCCCGTGGGGGATGCTGATGTCGAGAGCCCCGGGATGCAGGCTGTGGGACAGTTTCACGGCTTGTAATTAGCACTGCGTCTGCGCTTCAGGCAGCATCAAGGCTTGTTTAGTGAGGCTTCTGTGCTTTGATAGTTATCTCCATGTCTGCTTGTTTAGATCTGCATTTGTAGTTTTCCTCCCATTCCACAAGAACATAAGTGTAATTGGAAGCTGTGGATATTAACAGGAAAGTGAGTGTGTGCTTTCTGAGTCTCCCCTGGATTTCAGTCCCTCAGCCTTCTAGCTCTGGCCACAACAGAAATTCCCTGTGTTTCAAGAGGTCCCCAGAAATGTGTGTTTCTGCTGACAGCCCATCTGCCAGCTGGATGAGGACAGAGCGTGCAGGATGTGAGGGCTGGATTTGGTGCCACCTGTGAAGCGAGCAGAGTTCATCAGTTGCAATGGTTGGCTTCCTGTGGCTGATGAGGGCTTGCATGCAAGCATTTCCAGGCACGCCACTGAGTGAGGAGAGCGGGACCTGCCAATGCTCCAGCCTGGAAATACGTTTGTCCTGCTCTATTGAATCTTCCAGCCACGTTCACTGGACGCACAGGGAGTTGCAGCTTTGCTTTGTGCACATGGGCTGCATTCTCTGACGTTAACGGAAATCATGAAGAGGGTAAGAAGGTTTCTGTTATAATTCCCCATTATGCAACTTCCCTGTGTGACTTGTTTTGGTTTGTGTTGAATGCCATCGGTGTGCAGTGCTGTCTGTTGCAGTGAAAGGTTCTTTTTGTGTTGAAGTGCTTTTGTATAAATGCTTCAGTAATTGTAACTTGAGGTGGAGCAAGAGCAGATAGAGCTGGGGCAGAGCTGGCATGGCTGACGATCCCCTGGAAGTGTAGTGGGCAGCATCTGAGTGTGTGAGAGAGCTTCTGAGGGCTTGGTTGTTTGTGTTTGTCTAGAATGCCTCGTGTTCCCTCTACACCTTTAAGCTGCAGCAACAACACGGTGCCTGTTTTATACGTGCCATGTAAAGACAGGATTCTGATGTGTTCTGTGTGTTTCTGGATTGCCTCTGTAGTGGGGTTCTTTGCCCGGTGCCCAGCTCCTTTCTTGTCCCTTGTGCTGGGTGATCATTTGGGCCGTGCTGATCCGTGTGGGGATGCAGAAGTGCAGAGGTGCGGGGCTCAGTGTGTGGGGCAGTTTTCTGGGGTTCCCTTCATTAGCAGTGAGTCTGCCCAGCCGGTGTCTTAGTGGGTGGAGAAAGGAAGGGCTGTGTGCAATGGCATGGAGCTCCAGAGGGAAGCTGCGTTTGCAGTTGGCATCACACATTCCCAGACCGCTGAGTGAGAAGGAAGGTTTCCCTGCATGTTCTCTGAAGGAAGGTGATGAACAGAAACGTGCAGCAGGTTCTGAGAGTGCTGATCTGCAGTCCTGTGTGTGAAGCCCTGTGTTGCAAGAGGTGCAGGCACTGCCTTCTTGCTTTGCAGCGTTGTGCTTCTCCCCGTGTGTGCTGTGTGTTTTGCCTCCTGGTCATGATGTCTCTCCATCCAGCTGTGCTCTTATCCAGCCACTCTGATGCATTCTCCTGCAGCTCAGCTGTTCAACGGGGTCATTGCTGAGTGCAGCAGCCAGCAATACAGCTGCACTCGTGGTGTTGGGACACAGCGCAACACGTGGGTGTGCAGCGTTGTGGCTTGCCTGGGCTGCACTGAGTAAATAGGAAAGGTGCAGGCTGCATAGAGAGACATTGCTCTGAAAGTAATGCCTGCTCTTTGTTTCCATGGTAATATCCAGTGACAAAAGAGACACTGTCACACTGTTGGATGGTGCAGATTCACAGCTGGAAATTGCTATTTTTAAACAGAGTCACTGTCACATCTGTGCATATTGAACGGTGGTGTACCTGAGCCTGCATGTTGTGCTCATAATAATCTGCAGCAGTGGAGGTGACCCTGTGTTGCTGATGTTTAAACACATCACCCACCACCTCATGGTGCTCAGCTCCGCTGTCTGGTCTCCATAAACCTTCAGCAAGCGTTGGTGAATCTCAGTGGGTGCAATTGTTTCTGCATGGCATAAGTCAGTGCTGCCTGGTTGCCACATACGCACTTCCATGTCAGATGTCAGTTTATCAGACTGCCCTCTGCATCCATCTGTCACGTGGTTCCCAAAGAGAATGGGATGTTGGTGGGAAGGTTCAACCTCTGCTGCCAGACCTTCAACATCCGCCTTGGATATCATGGGCCACCACAGTAGAATGGCAGGCATTACTTTCAGAGAATCCCCTAGAATGTACATTGTTGTTATGAGGAAAGGAAGAAAACATTGAAGTTCTTAATATTTTTCTTGTAACTTCAAAAAAATAAAGAGGAACAAAACCATGAAGTCATTGGGATATTTGACCTTTTTTTGGTGACAGCAATGCATCAGGCTGGTTGGTGGGAATGGTTGCATTTCTTCCTGTGTTCTCAATGTCTTCATTAGAATTTTTTTGATGAAATTTTACTCTTTCAATGCTTTATAATTTAAAACCATTCTTCACAAATGTTCATACTTTGAAAATGCAATGACCTGATTAAACAGTGATGGAGAATGGAGAGATATTTCTGTGTGGTGAGCTGGGGATTGTGAAAGTCTTCCCCAGGCAGGGCTCCAGCTGCAAGGCCCAAGCTGCAGAAAGCAAAGGTAAGAACTGGGAGAAGGAAGATGTGCCTGCTGTCAGTGAAGACCGGGTTGGTGATCATCTAAAGAAGCTGCAGGAGCAGAAGTGCATGGGACACAATGAGATCCATCCATGGGTTCTGATGCAGACCATGTTGCCAAGGCTCTATCCATCATATTTGAAAGGTCATGGCAGTCTGGCAAAGTTTTCACTGATTGGAAAATTGGAAATATAACCCCCTTTTCAAGAAGGAAAAAAAAAGAAGATGCAGTGATCTGAAGTCCACTGAGTCTCATCTCTGTGTCTTTCAAGATCATGAAGCAGATCATCCTGAAGGCCCTTCTGAGGCACGTGGAAAACAGAGTAGGGGATTGGTGGTAACCGACATGGCTTCACCAAGGGCAAGTCATGTATGGCAAACCTGGTGACCTTTTATGATGAAATTACAGCATCAGTGGATGAATGAAGAGCAGCTGATGTCATCCAGGTGGACTTGTGAAAGGTTTGATAAGGTTGCGCATGACATCTGGTCACCAAATTGAAGAGACATGGATTTGATGGTTGGGTTTTGATTGCTGGATAGAGAATTGTCTGTGTGATTGCACTCAGACTGTTGCAGTCATTGCCACAATGTCCATGTAGAGACTGTTGATGTGCATTGGCCCTCAAGGGTCAGTGCTGGGACTGTTTCTATTTCACATCTTTGGAGGTGACCTGGACAAGGAAATTGAGTGCGCCCTCAGCAAGTTTGCAGATGACACCAAGCTGAGTTTGCAGCTGACCTGCTAGAGGGAAGGGCTGCCATCCAGAGGGACTGATCAGGCTGAAGAGGAGGGCCCAGGGCAACCTCATGAAGTTCAAGCAAGGCAAGTGAGAGGTTGTGCACCTGGGTCAAGGCAATCCCTAGCTGAAATACAGGCTGTGCAGAGAACGGCTTGAGAGCAGCCCTGAGGAGAAGGATTTGGGGGTGTTGCTTGCTGAGAGGCTGAAGATGGGCGACAATGTGCTCTGCAGCGCAGAAGGCCGAAGCTTTCCTAGTCTGCATCAAGAGAAGCCTGGCCAGCATGCTGAGGGTGGTGATTCTGACCTCTACTTGTCTCTCTTTAGACCCCGCTTGGAGGACTGTGTCCAGTTCTGGTGCCTGCTACACAAGAAGGCCATGGAGCTGTTGGAGCAGGTCTGGAGGAGGGCCACGAAGATGATGAGGGGGCTGGAGCAGCTCTGCTATGAGAACTGGCAGAGAGAGCTGGGACTGTTCAGCCTAGAGAAGAAAAATGCTGCGAGGGGATCTTATAACGGCCTTCCAGCACATGAAGGGGCCACAGGAAAGGCGATGTGTTTTCACTGAAATGGAGCCTGCATGTCATGCCCTTATTAATGTACATCTGAGGAGCTGACTGTCTCTTGCCACTGCTGAATTACATCGTGCAACACCTCATGGTGCTCACATCCACTGTTTGGTCTCCATAAACATTCATTAAGCCTTGATGAATATCAGCAGGTCTGATTGCTTCTGCATGGAGGAATTCAGTGATGCATCGATACTTCGTATGCATTTACATGTCTGAAGCAGTTTTAACAGACTGCCACCCTTACTGCCATCCAAGTGTACCTTCCTGGACTTACCCAAATTATTGGACACGGTCCCACATAACATCCTGATCACCAATTTGGAGACAAGTGCCTTTGATGGATGGATCTCTCACTCTGTAAGGAATTGGCTGCACGTTTGTGCTCAGGGAGCTGTGGTCAGTGGCTCAATGCCTGAGTGCAGTTCTGTGATGAGTGGCATTTCTCAGGGACTGGTGCTGGCACCAGTGCTATTGGACATCTGTGTGTGTGACATGGACAGGGCCCTGAGTGCAGCAAGGTGGTTGGAAGTGGCTGATCCTTGATGTTCCTTCCAAGCAAAGCCATTCTATGATTCTGTGATTGTGTGCACCCTCTGCAAGTTTGCAGATGACTCCGAGCTGAGTGGGGCTGTGGACATGCTGGATGGAAGGGATGCCATCCAGAGGGACTGATCAGGCTTGAGATGCGGGCCCATGGCAACCTCATGAAGTTCAAGCAAGGCAAGTGAGAGGTTGTGCACCTGGGTCAAGGCAATCCCTAGCTGAAATACAGGCTGTGCAGAGAACAGCTTGAGAGCAGCCCTGAGGAAAAGGACTTTGAGGTGTTGCTTGCTGAGAGGCTGAAGATGGGTGACAGTGTGCTCTGCAGCCCAGAAGGCCGAAGCTTTCCTAGGCTGCATCAAGAGAAGCATGGCCAGCCAGTGGAGAGAAGTGATTCTTCCCCTCAACTCTGACTTTGTGAAACCCCACCTGGAGTCGTGCTGCAAGCTCTGAGGCCACTAACACAAGAAGAACAAGGAGGTGTTGAAGCAGGTTTGGAGGAGGGCCATGGAGACAGTGAGAAGGCTGGAGCAGCTCCGCTATGAGGACAGGCTGAGAGAGCTGGAGTATTTCAGCCTGGGGAAGAGAAACGCTCCGGGGGACCTTATTGTGACCTTCCAGTATCTGAAGGTGGCTGACCAGAAATTTGAGGAGAGGTTTTTATAAAGGCATGTAGTGACAGGATGAGGGGAGATGGCATTGAAATGGAAGATTGTAGATTTGGACTAGATATCAGGCAGAAATTCCTTGCTGTGATGGTGGTGAGATGCTGCAATGGGTTGCCCAGAGTGGTTGTGGTTGCCCCTTCCTTGGAGTGATTCAAGGTCAGGCTGGATGGGGCTGTGAGCAACCTGGTCTGGTGGGAGGTGTCCCAGCCTATAACAGGAGAGCTGAAACTAGCGAGTCTTAAAGATCCCTCCCTTCCAACCCACAGCCTTCTAGGATTCCATGAAATCTCGTGAAGACATGTAGTCGGATTTCTGTGTTGAATATCTGGTTGCGACTCTGGATGTTCAATTTTTTAAATTTGCTGCTGCTATATATATATCGACTGAAAAAGGAGTTGCAGGCATCAATTCATACTCACTCGTATTATTTTATCAAATGTGAAAGAACACCTGATTATTCTTTGCTATTCAGAGCCCCGTGTTTAGCAAATGCATGAAGAGTGAGCAGTTCCTTCCTCTATCCATTTTCCTGTTTAGAAAACGTGTCCCTATTGACATATCTGTTCCATAAAGTGTACTGCCAGATCACTGAGAAGGGAATGTTAGAAAGAAGATGATTTGGCACAAGAGATTCAAACATTGTGTTATGTTGCTCTTATAAAAGGTACTGTTGTGAACAAGGCTGACACTGTTGAACTGATATAAAAAAAGACTCGGAGAGCCATTCCTGTAATAAAACGGATGGTGTTGTTCTGACAAACTTTGAAGAGATGTTTGTTTGTTTCTTTGTTTCTGGGAAAAGCCCGCAAAAGAACTTTGGAAACATTTGGGGCTTTTATAGTGTTCAATGCTTGCAACAGAAGAAGTATTTACAAGACGTTTTCATCCCCTTCTCGTTGCCCCTGTGCTTCCTACAGCGGCTGTGGTTGAGTTCGGGGCTGATTTTAGCGGGTGCGGGGATTTGGGTGGGTCGGGCTGGCGGCTGTCGGGGCGGGCGAGGAGGCGGGGAGGTGGCGGGCGCTGCAGCTTCGTTGCGTTGTCCGAGGCGGCGTGCGGGCAGGAGCGCGGGCGCTGGCTGTGGGCGCTGCCCGGGGCGGCGGCGTGTGCGAGCGGGAGGCAGCGGGGGTGCGCGCGTGTGTGCGGGGTGCGTGTGGCGGCGAAAGGGCGCGGGCAGGAGCGCGTCCCGTCCCCGGAGCAGTCCCGGCGCGGGCCGCAGGGTGGTGCTCGTGGCCAAGGCGGCGCCGAGCGGCTGCGGGCGGGGCGGGGAGAGGGAGAGGCCGAGCCGAGCGCAGCGCAGCGCAGCGCATCCGGGAGGAGGCGGCGGAGAGCGGCGGCGGAGAGCGGCGGCGGAGAGCGGCGGCGGAGAGCGGCGGCGGAGAGCGGCGGCGGAGAGCGGCGGCGGAGAGCGGCGGCGGAGAGCGGCGGCGGAGAGCGGCGGCGAGCGGTTGTCCGTGCTGCCGTGAGGTGCGTGTGAGCCGCCGCCGCGCTGTGACGATCGCGCTCCGGGCTCCGGGCTCAGTCCGCAGTCGGCGAGAGGCGGCGAGAGAGCCGAGCGGGGAGGGAGGCCCACCGTCCGTCCCGCCGCGCTGCTGCCAGGCGCCGCTTCCCGCGGAGGAGCGCGCTTCCCGGCCGGCCGGAGGGTGTCCGGCGGCCCGGCATGGCGGCTGCGAGGCAAGTGCTGTGTGTGTGGGCTTTGCTGGGCGTGGCGCGCGTTCGCTGCGAGCCCATCCGCTACTCCGTGGCCGAGGAGGGCGAGAGCGGCTCGCCGGTGGGCGACGTGGCGGAGGACGCGGGGCTGGCCCCGGCGCAGCTCTGGGCTCGCCGGGCGCGCATCGCCTCGCCGGCCGGCCGGCAGCACTTTGGCTTAGAGCGCGGCAGCGGCCGCCTCGTGCTCGCCGAGCGGCTCGATCGGGAGGAGCTGTGCGGACGCTCCCGCACCTGCACGCTCGCCTTCGAGCTGCTGCTCGCCGACCCGCTGCAGTTCTTTCCCATTGAGGTGTCCGTGGAGGACATCAATGACCACTCGCCGGTCTTCCCGGACGAACGGCTGACCTTTAAGATCCCTGAGAGGGGCGACCCAGGCTCCCGTTTCCCTGTGGCAGCAGCTCAGGACCTGGACATTGGCAGCAATGACATCCAGGCTTACAGCATCGTTCCTGAGAACGAGTTCTTCACTGTCTCCTATCAGACTCAAAGTGAGAGCGAGATGCATGTCGACCTTGTTTTGCAAAAGCCTCTGGACAGAGAGGAGCAGCCAGAGATGGATTTCACTCTCGTTGCCACGGATGGGGGCTCTCCACCGAGAAGTGCAACCACCCAAATCCACATCACAGTTCTGGACGTAAATGACAATGCTCCCATCTTCACACAGAAAGTGTTCAGTGGGCATGTTTTGGAAAATGCTCCAAAGGGTTTTGTGGTTCTCAGAGTGGTGGCAAATGATGCTGATGATGGAATAAATGGTGACATTACATATCAATTTACACAACCAGGTGGACAGACGTATTCAGATTTTACAGTTGACCCCACGAGTGGTGAAATTCGAGTCATGAAAAGTCTGGATTTTGAGACTGTGCAGAAATATGAATTCAGTTTGAGGGCCGTGGACGGAGGGGGCCTTTCAGCCATGTGCAAGGTAGTGGTGGAGGTGATGGATGTGAACGACAACGCACCAGAGATCGTGGTCAGTTCCTTCAGCAGCCCGATCCCGGAGAATGCAGCACCCGGGACAGTGGTCGCCCTCTTCTCTGTCACCGACAAGGATTCCGGTGTGAATGGGGAGATCAGCTGTGCCCTGGCAGAACAGCTGTCGTTCTCCCTGCGGCCGGCGTTTAAGAACTACTACGAGCTGGTGACCGTGAGCGCGTTGGACCGGGAGCAAACGGCACGTTACACGGTGGTTGTCACGGCCGCAGATGCAGGGTCTCCTCGTCTGAGCGGCAGCCACACGTTCACCGTGGACGTCTCGGACGTGAATGACAACGCGCCCGTGTTCAACCAGACGTCGTACACCATGTACGTGCACGAGAACAACGTCCCCGCGCTGCTGGTCGGGGCCGTGCAGGCAAGGGACGCGGACGCGGGAGCCAACGGCAAGGTGAGCTATTCGCTGGTGGCGGCCGATCCGCCCGAGCGAGAGCCGTGCTCGTGCGTGTCCGTGAACTCCGAGAGCGGAGCCGTGTTCGTGCTGCGGCCGCTGGACTACGAGCAGCTGAGGCAGCTGGAGGTGGTGGTGAGCGCTGCGGACGCGGGGTCCCCTCCCCTGAGCAGCAGCGTCGGCGTCCGCCTGCTGGTGGTGGACGAGAACGACAACGCGCCGCTGGTGCTGCACCCCAGCGCGCAGGACGGCGGCCCTGCTTGGAGCGAGCCGGTGCCCGCGTGGGCCGAAGCGGGGGACCTGGTGAGCAAAGTGGTGGCCGTGGACGCCGACTCGGGGCAGAACTCGTGGCTTTCGTACCGGCTGCTGAGGGCCACGGAGCCGGGGCTGTTTGCCGTGGGCGCCCAAAGCGGGGAGGTGCGGCTGAGGAGGCCGCCGACGGAGAGGGACGCGGCGAAGCAGAAGCTGGTCGTGCTGGTGCGGGACAACGGGCGGCCGCCGCTGTCGGCCACGGCGGCGCTCAGCGTGCTCCTCCTGCACGGCTCCCGGGACGCTGAGCTGCCGCAGCAGAGCCCCGCCGCGCACGACGACGACGGCTCCCTCACCGCCTCCTTGATCGTCGCCTTGGTCTTGGTCTCGCTCCTGTTCCTGGTGTCGGCGGCGGCCTTTGCGGCGTGCAAGGCGTGCAAGAGCAAGGAGCCGAGTAGCGGGCACGTGCTGTACGGCCCCAGCGGCGTGCCGAGCTGCGTGGCTGACGGGGCCGCTGCCGGCACCCTGCCCCACGCCTATTGCTACGAGCTCAGCCTCACCACGGGCTCGGGCAGCAGCGAGTTCCAGTTCCTCAAGCCCGTGCTGCCCAGCCTGCCGGCGCAGCGCTGCAGCACGGGGGTGGCCGGCGACGATGCCGAGCATTTCCCTGCTGTCCCTGTCCCCGTGGGGGATGCTGATGTCGAGAGCCCCGGGATGCAGGCTGTGGGACAGTTTCACGGCTTGTAATTACCACTGCGTCTGCGCTTCCAGCTGATTCATGGCTTGTTTAGTGAGGCTTCTGTGCTTTGATAGTTAACTCCATGTCTGCTTGTTTAGATCTGCATTTGTAGTTTTCCTCCCATTCCACAAGAACGTAAGTGTAATTGGAAGCTGTGGATATTAACAGGAAAGTGAGTGTGTGCTTTCTGAGTCTCCCCTAGATTTCAGTCCCTCAGCCTTCTAGCTCTGGCCACAACAGAAATTCCCTGTGTTTCAAGAGGTCCCCAGAAATGTGTGTTTCTGCTGACAGCCCATCTGCCAGCTGGATGAGGACAGAGCGTGCAGGATGTGAGGGCTGGATTTGGTGCCACCTGTGAAGCGAGCAGAGTTCATCAGTTGCATTGGTTGGCTTCCTGTGGCTGATGAGGGCTTGCATGCAAGCATTTCCAGGCACGCCACTGAGTGAGGAGAGCGGGACCTGCCAATGCTCCAGCCTGGAAATACGTTTGTCCTGCTCTATTGAATCTTCCAGCCACGTTCACTGGACGCACAGGGAGTTGCAGCTTTGCTTTGTGCACATGGGCTGCATTCTCTGACGTTAACGGAAATCATGAAGAGGGTAAGAAGGTTTCTGTTATAATTCCCCATTATGCAACTTCCCTGTGTGACTTGTTTTGGTTTGTGTTGAATGCCATCGGTGTGCAGTGCTGTCTGTTGCAGTGAAAGGTTCTTTTTGTGTTGAAGTGCTTTTGTATAAATGCTTCAGTAATTGTAACTTGAGGTGGAGCAAGAGCAGATAGAGCTGGGGCAGAGCTGGCATGGCTGATGATCCCCTGGAAGTGTAGTGGGCAGCATCTGAGTGTGTGAGAGAGCTTCTGAGGGCTTGGATTTTTGTGTTTGTTTAGAATGCCTCGTGTTCCCTCTACTCCCTTAAGCTGCAGCAACAACACGGTGCCTGTTTTATACGTGCCATGTAAAGACAGGATTCTGATGTGTTCTGTGTGTTTCTGGATTGCCTCTGTAGTGGGGTTCTTTGCCCGGTGCCCAGCTCCTTTCTTGTCCCATGTGCTGGGTGATCATTTGGGCCGTGCTTATCCGTGTGGGGATGCAGAAGTGCAGAGGTGCGGGGCTCAGTGTGTGGGGCAGTTTTCTGGGGTTCTGTTCATTAGCAGTGAGTCTGCCCAGCTGGTGTCTTAGTGGGTGGAGAAAGGAAGGGCTGTGTGCAATGGCATGGAGCTGCAGAGGGAAGCTGCGTTTGCAGTTGGCATCACACATTCCCAGACCGCTGAGTGAGAAGGAAGGTTTCCCTGCATGTTCTCTGAAGGAAGGTGATGAACAGAAACGTGCAGCAGGTTCTGAGAGTGCTGCTCTGGAGCCCTGTGCTCCAAGAGGTGCAGGCACTGCCTTCTTGCTTTGCAGCGCTGTGCTTCTCCCCGTGTGTGCTGTGTGTTTTGCCTCCTGGTCATGATGTCTCTCCATCCAGCTGTGCTCTTATCCAGCCACTCTGATGCATTCTCCTGCAGCTCAGCTGTTCAACGGGGTCATTGCTGAGTGCAGCAGCCAGCAATACAGCTGCACTCGTGGTGTTGGGACACAGCGCAACACGTGGGTGTGCAGCGTTGTGGCTTGCCTGGGCTGCACTGAGTAAATAGGAAAGGTGCAGGCTGCATAGAGAGACATTGCTCTGAAAGTAATGCCTCCTATTTATTTCCATGATAATATCCAGTGACAAAAGAGACACTGTCACACTGTTGGATGGTGCAGATTCACAGCTGGAAATTGCTATTTTTAAACAGAGTCACTGTCACATCTGTGCATATTGAACGGTGGTGTACCTGAGCCTGCATGTTGTGCTCATAATAATCTGCAGCAGTGGAGGTGACCCTGTGTTGCTGATGTTTAAACACATCACCCACCACCTCATGGTGCTCAGCTCCGCTGTCTGGTCTCCATAAACCTTCAGCAAGCGTTGGTGAATCTCAGTGGGTGCAATTGTTTCTGCATGGCATAAGTCAGTGCTGCCTGGTTGCCACATACGCACTTCCATGTCAGATGTCAGTTCATCAGACTGCCCTCTGCATCCATCTGTCACGTGGTTCCCAAAGAGAATGGGATGTTGGTGGGAAGGTTCAACCTCTGCTGCCAGACCTTCAACATCCGCCTTGGATATCATGGGCCACCACAGTAGAATGGCAGGCATTACTTTCAGAGCAGCCCTTAGAAAGTACATCATTGTCATTACGAAAGGAAGAAAACATTGAAGTTCTTAATATTTTTCTTATAACTTCAAAAAAATAAAGAAGAATAAAACCATGAAGTCATTGGGATTTTTGACCTTTTTTTTTGGTGACAGCAATGCATCAAGCTGGGTTGGTGGGAATGGTTGCATTTCTTCCTGTGTTCTCAATGTCTTCATTAGAGTTTTTTTGATGAAATTTTACTCTTTCAATGGTTTATAATTTAAAACCATTCTTCACAAATGTTCATACTTTGAAAATGCAATGACGTGATTAAACAGTGATGGAGAATGGAGAGATATTTCTGTGGTGAGCTGGGGATTGTGAAAGTCTTCTCCAGGCAGGGCTTCAGCTGCACGGCCCAAGCTGCAGAAAGCAAAGGTAAGAACTGGGAGAAGGAAGATGTGCCTGCTGTCAGTGAAGACCGGGTTGGTGATCATCTAAAGAACCTGCAGGAGCAGAAGTGCATGGGACCCAATGAGATCCATCCATGTATTCTGAGGCGGATGAAGTGTCCAAACTGCTACTGCTCATATGTGAAGTTTCTTGCCTGTCGGGTGAAATTCCCACTGATTGGAAAATTGAAATATAACTCCTATTTTCACAAAGGGAAAAAAATAACTTGTAGAGATCTGAAGGCCACTGAGTCTCACCTGTGTGCCTTGGAAGATCATGAAGCAGATCATCCTGAAGGCCCTTCTGAGCCACATGGACAACAGAGGAGGTGATTGGTGGTAACCAACATGGCTTCGCCAAGGGCAAGTCATGTATGGAAAACCTGGTGATCTTTTATGATGAAGTTACATCATCAGTGGATGAATGAAGAGCAGCTGATGTCATCCAGGTGGACTTGTGAAAGGTTTGATAAGGTTGTGCATGACATCTGGTCACCAAATTGAACAAAACATGGATTTGATGGACAGAGCGCTCGGTGCTCAAGGAATTGGCTGGATGGTCGCACTCAGTTGTAGTCAATACTGCGATGTCCAGGTGGAGGCCGTTGATGTGTGTCTGTCCTCAGGGCTCACTGCTGGGAGTGGTGTTCTTTAACATCTTTGGAGGTGACATGGCCAGTGGAACTGAGTGCACGCTCAGTAGTATTGCAGATGACACAGAGCTGAATGGTGCAGTTGACATGCTAGAGGGAAGGGATGCCATCCAGAGGAACCTGGTCAGGCTGAAGAGGTGGTCCCATGCCAACCTCATGAAGGTCAACTAAGACAAGATCACAGAATCACAAGGTTGGAAAGGACCTGCAAGATCATCCCGTCCAAAAACCCTCCCATCACCATTGCTACCAGAAGCTCTAAACCAGATCTCGCAGCTCCTCATCCAGTCACCTCTTGAACACTGCCAGGAACGGCGGCTCCACCACCTCCCTGGGCATCCATTCCAGTGCCTGACCGCTCTATAAGAGAAAAAGTTCTTCTTTATGTCTAACTTAAACCTCGTCTGTTACAACTTGTGGCCATTTCCTTGTTTGTTGCCTGGGAGAAGAGGCCAAAACCCTCCTCATCTCAACCTCCCTTGAAAGTTGTAGAGTATAATGAAGTCTTCCCTGAGCCTCCTCTTCTCCAGGCTGAACAATCCCAACTCCCTCAGCCATTCCTCATAAGACTTCTGCTCCAGACCCCTCACCAGTTTTGTTGCCCTTGTCTGGACACGCTTCAGGGCCTCAATGTCTTTCTTGTTGTGAGGGGCCCAAAACTGAACACAGTAGTCCAGGTGCGGCCTCCCTGCTCCTGCTGGCCACAATATTTCTAATGCAGGCCAGGATGGCATTGGCCCTCTTGGCCCCCTGGGCACACTGTGGGCTCCTGTTCAGCCGAGCATCAACCAACACGCCCAGGTCCCTTTCCTCTTCACAGTCATGCAGCCATTCAGCACTAAGCCTAATCCACTGCATGTGGTTATTGGGGCCAAAGTGCAGGATCCGGCACTGGGTCTTGTTGAACCTCATCCCATTCATCTCATCCCAGCGTTCCAGCTAATCAAGATCCCGCTGAAGGGCCTCCCTACCCTCAGGAAGATCAACAACACCCCCAACTTGTTGTCATCTGCAAACTTTCTGAGGGTGCACTCAATGCCCCTCTTCCAGGTCATCAATAAAGATATTAAACAAGATGGGCCCCAGTACTGACCTCTGGGGGAAGCCATTTGTAATGGGTCACCAGCTGGTCTTTGCTCCATTAATTAGTACTGATGGGCACAGCCCTCTAGCCAGTTCCTTACTGAAAGAAAGGAATGCCTGTCCAGGCCACAGGCAGCCAGTTTCCCCAGAAGAATGCTGTGAGAGACCGTGTCAAAGGCTTTGCTGAAGCCTAGGTAGAGTACATCAACAGCCTTCCTACCTACATCTACCAGTCTGATCATGCAGTCCTAGAAGGAGAAGAGGTTGGTCAAGCACAACCTGCATTTCATGAACTGGTGCTGGCTGGGCCTGATCCCCTGGATGCCTCACACGTGCCGTGTGATCTCACCCAAGATGATTTGCTCCATAACTTTCTCTGGTACTGAAGTCAGGCTGTCAGGCCTGTAGTTCCCTGGCTCCTCCTTACGGCCCTTCTTGTAAATGGGAGTCACATCAGCAAGCCTCCAATCCTCTGGGAGCTCTCCAGACAACCAGGAACGCTGGAAGATGGCAGAGAGTGACTCAGCAATCACCTCCACCAGCTCCCTCAGCATTTTAGGATGGAGTCCATCTGGCCCCATGGACTTGTGACAGTCCAGATGGAGGAGCAACTCTCTCACTCTCCCTGCCTGAATCACTGGGAGTGTCTGTAGCATCCCAGACTTCCAGATCAGGCCATTAATTATCGATAACTGATAGCTGATAACAGATGACTGGTTTGCCTAGTAACAGCAGATGTAAAAAAGGCGTTGAGGACCTCCGCCTTCTCCTTATCCTCAGATAAAGAAGTTCAGTGTGTTTGGATGGATTGTAACACAAATCCAGGAATTCTCTTGAAGAACATTCTGTGCAAATGGAACAGGGACAGAAGTGTAAAAGCAGCCCTCACTTTATTGCAATCCCTTTTATTCTTTCTTACTGCGGATTCTCAATGAGCAGCGGTGACAATGTGGTCTGCAGAGTCTGCAGTCTTAGAAGAGGCTGCATGAATTTTCATTTCTTTTATTTTCATTTTTCTGCATGGATTGTGATGGAGCACTGTCAGATGTGCTCCCCTTGAAATATCCTGTTCTCCAAACAGAGCAAGGGATTGCCGCGGCGCGT